TGCCAACTTACACTTATATTTGATATAATTGAAAATGTTTTTAAAGTTTTTTCTCCATACATTTTTATTAACGAACACTACAAAATGTAATTATAGATGTTAGATATCTTGTACTTTCAGAAGAAATACTAAGAAGAAAGTTCACTTGTAATGTATGGCCCTGTAGTGACCCTTGACCAATTAGTCATTTTCCAGTTATATAACAGTTGGAAAAGATATATCTTTGATGTCTTTAAATAGATAACAATCTTATCATGACCTTTGGCCCAAGAATTTTTTAAAATAAAAATAATTTTTTCAAAGAATCAGAGAAAAGGGTGAAAAATCTAGAGAATCCCCATACCTTTGAATTTGAAGCTTAAGAAAATGGATAACTAAATGAACAATGATGATGAAACTGGAACAAATGCACAACTAATACCTAATGGTAAAGTTGACACCAAAATCAAAAAAAGTAAAACTGTATCAGGGCCGATGTTATAGGATTTTGTGAAGACTTACCAAAACCAAAATGGCTAAGCCAGCTTTGATTGAAAGGGAGGCTGCATGAGCCTCGTTTTGGAATTAGGATTCAGTCAAGTATACATTTAGTTTACACTTTGACCAATATTTGATTTTTTCTGAGTCTAATTTACATCGAGTTTTCACTTTTAACAAATTCAAAGTCAAGTTTACACCTAGTAAATCAGTGTTTACTTTCTGCTGGTAAATACCTATTTACTTGAGGTAAAGTTAACATCGAAGTATACACCAAGGTCTGGTGTAAATTAAGTGTAAACTGGATGTAAACTTGAATTCATTTTTGTTTGGGCCGCGGTTCAGGATATTGGGATTATCCCTTGGCCAATATATAGGGGTTATGCAATTGGAGGTTTTGGATACAGGGAATATCCCGAGGGATATACAATATATCTTCCCGAGGGACCGAAGGGACCAAGGGAAGATATATTATATATCCCTCGGGATATTCCCTGTATCCAAAACCTCCAAGTGCATAACTGTTGTATATAGTTTACCATGATATGTACTTCTTTCTGTAACTGGAATACGATTCTAATATACAAGCAGCACATACGTATTCCCGGGGAACCATAAATATTTTGTGTAGGGTGTGGACATTTTTCTTTTCATTTCTCTAAAATCAGACTATTCTCATAAAATTCATACAAAGTTGGGCCTAAGCCTCTATTTTCGTATTCTGCATCTTAAGATATTTATAATGTAAAACCTAAGAGATAAATTCAATGTCTTCAGTTGAGAATAAGTGTAAGGTAAATGTGTGAATTCTGCTTGTTGTTGCACTATTTTTATAATAAACAAGGTTCGATACGCAACACTGAATAGACTGCAGTCATAGCTTAGTTGTAAAGAAAACAAAAGAAGTTTGGACGTGGTCATGCTTGAATACGATTTTAAATATATCGCCGTTTACATTTGTTGAAATCGGCCTGTATTAATTTCAACAGGTGATCGGTGTACAAGGGCATATATTTGAGTTATTGGTTTAACGATAAGTATGACCTTTGAGTGGGTAATGTTTTACAAATGCATGAAACAAATACTCCAATGGCCTAATCTCAATTTTCCTGCATAAACTATTACATTGAAATGATGGTCATTTGCTCTCTAACTTCCGCACCGCATACGTAACTTCGTAACAATTCAATAAGCCAAGACAGGACCGCTATAATCGCTACATGCCAGTGGACGTTGTCGCTTTAGGAAATGTGAAGTTGGGAAGTGAAGGATCGTTTGCACCTTTCCAGTAAAATTCCAATATGAACGTATATGTTAAAATGATTTCCATGCCATCGAAACCCCCAATTAACAAATATCGATTTTCGTTCAATGGTGGGTCAATATAATTTCTCATTTCATTTCAAAATACCCCCATGGACGTTTATTTCGAGGGAAATTATACATTCAAGTTGTCCTTTGCCAAGGGTATCATTAAGTGAAACTCCTGGATGTTATCTACACTAGTATTTACTCTACTTTATACTAGATTAGTATCTTTTAATGCCTTGAAAGAGAAATACCTTGATTCACTGTTCAGTCGGTGCATATCGAAAATATACTGTACCTTCACATAATAGTTGACACCTCTCCCACCAACTCGAGACAGATGCTTGGGTTATTCCAAATAAGTCCCTATTTTTAAGTTGCCTGTTGCAAAGAACCTCAAAGTTGTGCCCATTTTTAGCGATGCCGGTGTAAAAGAAATTATGGTCCCCTCGGGATTATGGCCCCCTTTCCTTACGGCCCTTACTGGCCCTGACTGTGTATAAATAATAAGGAAAATAATTGTGATTAGGTCACCATGTAAATCAATAGAGAGTAGGACAAAAATTTGATAGGACCACCTACCCTTTTACACCTGAATGAATGTAGCGTTTCGTTTTTTTGGATTTGCGATCAGAATTTGGATTTAATTATAAAATTCGAAGGTTTTAAACGCTCCTCATATCATTTACGATTCCTTTGATTTAAGCACTTTCGAAAAACATAATCTAACTTTTTATTACACAGTCGCCTTAAGAAAAGAACATACTTACGCAATCAATAAAGAAACTCCTAGATTGACACATTTAAAATAGATAACAATTGTCTTAAAGATGGGTAATATTGGCGATTGATTTGCGGCAGGGTAAGAGCTGTCGCAGCTTTTTGGTCAGTTGCGATTGAAACATCTTCCCATTTGCGATTGCGTTGCGTTGCGCCGAGCGGATGATACAAATCCTGATTGCGATTCGCCAAAACTTGCGTTGCGTTGCGGTGCACTTGCGAATCTGCGTTGCGACGAGCAGGTGATGAGGCCCCAGATCTCCTAAAATCTCATTATTCAAAGCTATATGGAAAAGCCACTATTAGATAGATGCCTTCACTAGGCTATTCTCTGTACTTGTGTCCGTGCCTCATTTAATTTTGAGTAGCGAGTGTAAATTATTTTCGGAAACATGATTATGTTTTCCCTGTAATATGAATTAGAGATATCTGAAAAAAATATGGATAGCCTAGAATATAAATGTTGTGTTTTTGAACATGCGCAATATCTTTGAAATTACACTTACACTTTGAAATTAAACCGAACTACAGTAGTTACTTAATGACAGGTCGTTCAGTTTTCTTGTTTTTGTTCTACACAACACTTGTGTTTAATAGCCACGCGTAATTATTAATAAGCGTAATCAGATTATTTCAAGCGTCGAAATAGCTTATTTTCCTCGACGTATCTACACAAACTTATTCACTTACCGTTATATTGAGCGATCTAGATGTGTCAATTATAAATGTTTTCACTCATCGGCTTTAGTGGCCCACGATACCTTTTATTTCATTCATTTGAGACGCAATTGATATATAGGCAACAGATCAAATGTTCTAAATGATTCTTCTTCATTTTGGAATGTTTTTTCTTCCAAATATTCAAATATGTGTCTTAAATATTATACTCTTACATTGATCACGATTCTTGTACTTTCTGTCTTTACGACTCCCGTTCACATTTTCAAGAGTTGTTGATTGCATTTCCTTGATCGTTGGTGGAAATTCAATTCCAACTAAATCAGATTAATCAATTAAGAAATGTAATATCATGTTTATCTAAGCAAATAATTGTAACAACTACATTATTTTTAGCAGTTTTGACACCTAAGCATGGTAGCCTAGTGGCGTAGACTGAGGCTACTTTGCGGTTGAACGTCGTGGGATACGGAGGTCCCGCGTTCGAGCCCCAGGTACGGAGTTGTTGATCATTGTCACTACGGACACCCGGTCCGAAGGTCCAACCGTTTACCGGCCCTTGGCATGGGTTGGTTCTCTGGCCGCTCTTGCCGGAGACAGATTGTGAGACTGTGGTTGGTTCCTCCACTAACGTGCTTTAGTAAACTCCGGGAGTCATATAGTATGGTAGCGGGCCCCCACCAAGGGCAGTAGTGGAACGACGCGAATCGGTCCCAGTATGGTTGCCTTGCAACTGAAGCGACTCGAGGAAATCATGCCATTCGCAGTGACCCAGAAAAGACTTTTGCTTCTTAATTTGACGCTTTAATTCATTAATTTACATACTTTATTCATACTTCCCAGGCATGCTGATTTTTATTGGTCAAATGAATGCAGGAGACATCTAGATACTATTAAATACATCTAGATAGTATCAAAACCATAATTCGATTTGTCGGACATATATAAAATAACACTTGAAAACACAACACTCATAGCTGCAATATCCGTAGCATTTGGCACAGTCGGTTCACACGCTCTATCATTTTGTGCGGTCATCATAAGATAAGGAGGTACGGTTGATTGGACCATGGGCTTTCAACAGAGTCAAGATATTGGCATGGATACTTTGAGAAATGAGGTAGCAACAAAGGGAAACACCGAAAATAATCCAAAAATGTCCACACCATCGTTTTCGTTAGTTATTGCAAGGCCCCGGAGGAAAAACAACATTCGTGGGTAGCTTAATTTTTGTACCAATTAGAAAAATTGACTTAAACTCAAACAAGAACAGTGGGGCAAAGTCCCTATGGGTCCCAATTGAGAATCAATTCAAATCAAAATCAAATTGAGAATCAGATGACCCGCTAAGCCTACATGTAGTATTGATTTGTCCCTAAATAGATATTAAAGGGACGCTGAATATTGGACTTAGTTTATGAGCACCATTTTCACTGGTACTCACCTAGACATACATACGTATATGACATTCGTCAGCGTAACAAGATAGAAGAACTTCCGGGCTTCGTTTTCGGTAAGATATTTTTATTTCTCGTTTCTACATCACTTATGAGTCAAGTTGTGGACAATAATTAGGCTCAAAGTTAAGGAATATAGTCTAGTTTGAGAATATGCAGGCGGTTCAATGTTTGGTATATTAACGAAGACGCAATTCACATATTTAGTCCCTCCTTTTTGTTACGTTGACGATCTTCATGAATATTGTCACATCTTACAGAAAACGAAGCCCGGAAGTTCTTCCATCTTGTTACGCTGACGTCTCAGCGTAACAAGGTGTGTACCAGTGATTTTAAACTGGAATGAAAACTGATGATAGAGATAATATCAGTAGCTAAAAACTGTACAAGCAATTTAAACATGGAAATGATGCCAATTTAGATGTATTACAGTATATGAAAAGAAATGTTTGTGAAATGGTTAGAAAATGAAATAACTTCAGAATAAATGGGATCATTGAGGCACACATTGATAAAAATCACACTTGGATTTGGAAAGAAAGTAAAACAAATGAATGCGTTTCTTACTATCTCCATGACAACATATCTTGCTCTCTCTCCATGACAACAATTTTTTGCCCCCATCAGCACAAGATCGAAAATACAGTAATTATCAAGTTCAATAAGAAATGTGAAATTTTATATTTAATAGCACAATTATTTATTTCTACCAATGAAACAATACAGTATAAATAAATGTTTACTTCATTGAATACAGAATTTACCACAGTTAAATATATTTTATGAAGTACAGGGTTTACCATAATCAAACATAAATAATAGAATTATGACTTTATCCTCTATGAAATACAGAAATTGATGGTTTACTGGAATTAAGTTTGTTGAGACGACCCCTCAATCCGAAACGCCTAGCATCAGTTAAAAAATTTCTAGCCGCAACTGAGATGTAAGATGTTTAAAGATTTTAAATTAACCTTTATCTGAAAATACGTCTTTGCCCAATAAACTCTTAATTGATAATGAATATATAAAAGACAGATTAACATCCAGTCTCATAAAAGTTTAAAGTTGAAATATTGTGGAAGTAAATAAAAATGAATTTTTAATTTTCAAGACTTGTCTGTTCAGTGAAAAAATCATGTATAATTTGAACGAAGGTGTATGATAAAGTAATATATAAACTATCTATTTTATATGCTGATACAGTAGAATTTCTCTTGGCTTTTCAACATAGCACCATATTTGACTTTTCAGGCTCCGCTTTTATTATTCTATGCCTATATAATGATACTGTGGACTATCATACATGTACATAATCATGTGTCTAATTGACGTTTTGAAAGAGTATAGAGCTAGATTCAAAGCACCGTTCTTGCAAGTTTCAAATGAAAATATTGAAAAAAGCGCGAGTATGAGGAGCGCAACTTTTTATGTCTACACTGACAAAAACTTGAAATTCCCACTGTTAAGATATAGTCCCACACAGAAGTGCACGTCATAAAACTGATGGTTTTTAAGGCAATGTGCCGTCCCACTGGCACAGATTTCAGTACAACGCGCATTGGTAGGCCTATGTTGGTTTTTGGCACAATGCGCGGCGGTATAATGGGTTTCGGTATAATGCGCGTAGGTATAATGGGTTTCGGTGTAATACGCGTCGATATAATGAGGTGATCCCGACACAGTGAGGGTCCCAGGATTTTTTTCAAAAATTTAGGGGAGACTTAATTTGGGCAGTTTTTATCAATTCGCCAAATTAAAGCGGCCAACAGTAGTTGATACCCTCACTTATGTTTGATGTTTTTCCCCAGTGCGTCCTGTTGAGCTGGACTTCCCCAGACTGTCTTAAACACTTTCTGTTCATGACGCAAAGATTCCTCAATATTAGAATTTTCTGCGATAATAACTGTTGATTTTACTGCATGTATAGCAGCTACAGATCCAATTGTTCTTCGTTCTAACCAATCATAGGCTTTCAATAAAGCATCATTTTCAGGTAAAGTACCGTCACTTAGTTGTAAATCTTTTGCTTCATCTGCTAGTACTAAACGTCCTGATGTTAATAAATCTAAAGCAGTTTTCCGACCAATTAAATTCACAATTCTTGAACCTCCACCCCATCCTGGTGACACGCCCATTTTGATTTGTACAAATCCTATACATGCACTTTCCGTCATCAGCCTAAAATCGCATGCAGTAGTCAGTTCAGCTCCACCCCCTAATGCCTTGCCCTGTACAAGGGCTAAACTGACTAAAGGAAGGTTATGTAATCTTCTTGTAACGTCTTGCATAAAGTCGCGCATTTGTCCACCTAGTTCAGGATCCAGTATTTTACTGACTGTTTCTAGATCCCCACCTGAGCAGAATGACCCGTTGGATCCATACATCAAGACCCCTTTACCCTCAGTCCAGCCTTCAAGTTCAGATACTATATCATATAGGTTCACCATCATCTTTCCTGAAAGAAGATGATGCACAACTCAAGGGCACAGTGAGCAGAAGTCATATGCAGTATAACTATATATGTACTAATGGTACTAATTTATAAATGGTACTAAAATTACATGGGAATATGGCGGCCTTTTAATTTAAATTAAAACGCCTGCCAAATTAGTAGAAGTACAGTATAAATTATATGGTAGAACTTCCCACTATCTTTTTAGTTATGTTATTTATGAAAAAACAAGCAATATTTTGCAATTACTTAAAGAAATTGCCATTTAAGCAGACGAGTGAGGCTCTTTATATAATTATCATGACTAAAAGATAATAGAAATAATTTTTAAATAAAGAGGGCAGCCCAATCAATCTCTGTTTATTTATAGAAAGTGTTATTCAATCACTGCTGCCATCTTTATATCGGTCAAAAACTTATGATAATTTTCAAACACTAATAGAATGCATAAGTTAGCTGAGGTCATACATTCATATGATATGTTTTCTTATTTTCTGTAAAATTTCTTATTAAAGGGGCAACAAGGACTGTAGTGAGAAAATTCGAAATTTTTTTTTTCTGAGCTATCAGGTCAATATTTGGCTTAACATCGTCTTTGACATACCTATTTTCTTAAAATGTATGGATAAACTATCAATTTCAGCATTAAGAAGTGTAAATTCATTTCAAAGCTTCTATAAAGGGAGTCCAACTATCAGCTGAAATAATGTGCATCCATGGGGTTTCTTTGTAGATGATAAAAATATATGTTAGTCTTGATGAAATATCCAAACTTAAATAATTTTGACACTGGTTGATGATTATTGAATAGCCCCCCTGCATTAATCATTGCACCTTTAATTGATAAAAATACTGATTTAGATTTCAATATTGATAAACCTGTATTCGAACACCGCTTTAATCTGAACACCTCTCAATGTGAACACTTTTTCTCATAAGTCAGATATATTTTAGAAACATGTGATAATCCTAGTGGAGCTCAGATTAGACAGGTTTTACTGTAGCAAACCATTTCGTAAAAACCCAAATGTTGTACCTGAGAGTGCATTCATTTTTTCTGGGTAGTTGAGCATGATTGTCGCAATTTTACTGCTGCCATCTATAGTGAGGTCTACTGAACCACCAGTATATGTCATGAGATCGTCACGAAATGTTGAGCAACATTTAGGCCCTGTGTGTATAGACTCACAGATTTTACCTGAAATATAAAAAATATATCAGCAATAGCAGTAATAAAAATGGCACCATTCGCTGGTCACATGATGATTTGTTATGTAATGCCACTGGGCCGATCGTCTGAAGCTATAGTGTAATGATCCAGATACTAGAAAGGGAGTGTGCTAAATTATATGCCCTGTATGGGAATTGAACCCAGGACCTTCTGCTCCATAGACTCTCTACAACTCAAGCCAAAGATGTTAGTTACTACATCTAAGCTCTAGCAGTGACTTGTTATAAAGGACCATTAAAATAATATTCATTGTTCAAATATTGTAAAAAAGCTGATCATTCTAAAATGAGTCAAAAGAAGTAGCTTGGGCAAATGACGTATGGATGGATAGATTGATAACTGGGCAATTCCACATGAAGCAAAAATTGTTATGACCACATATACTTATAAAAACAAGGCATTTAACATGCAAAATGTCAGCACCTGCTATCTGTTATAGCTGCCCTGTCAACCCTCACGCATTAGGCGTGATTGTCACGCATTTGCTGGAAAAATATAAATCACGCATCAATTTAGCATGCATGATCAAATATCACGCAAATCACGCATTTTTTTGAATTTTTTAAAAATCGTTTTTTTGTGAAATGCCGATACGGTAAAAAACCGAACGGCGAAAAAAAGCGAATGCATTCCGTTTGGCCTTTGCACGCGATTGCCGTTTATGTCACGCATATGTGTATATATCACACACATATACACTTCCCCCCCCCCCCCTTGACGGATTTGACCAGCGAGCGTTAGCCCACACCACAAAACAATAACAACCAGAACAACGGCAACGCCAAAGCGTAGCGAATCCCATCGAACAGAGATAGCTGGCATTTTTACAAACGAATAGCAAATATCATAAAACAACACACCAGAAAGGCCACCATTTTCAAAATGGTTGCTCACTTGCCAAGGTGTCATCAGAAGAAATAATATGCTTTTAAGTAGCCACCTCTAAAATTTTTGAAAAATCGCACACGTACTTGTAAAATAACACACATAAAAATGGCCGACTACTCCCCAAAGTTTTATTAGACAATGTGCCATGCTTACAGTATTCACATATCAAATATGAACAAAATCGCTCCACTACTTTTCGAGTTATAGTAAAATACGTTAAAATGGTGGCCATTTTTCAAATTTTTTTTCAAAATGGCCGCCTTCTCACAAAAATGTCATAGGACAGTGTGCCATGCTTATAGTATTCACATACCAAATATGAACAAAATCGCTCCACTACTTTTCGAGTTATAGTAAAATACGTTAAAATGGCGGCCATTTTTCAAAATGGCCACCTTCTACCAAAAGTGTCTTTAGACAGTGTGCAATGCTTATAGTATTCACATACCAAATATGAACAAAATCGCTCCACTATTTTTTGAGTAACAGCAAAAATCGTAAAATGACGAGTAAAGGACGCCATTTTTCAAGATGGCTGCCATGAGCTTCTTTAATATCTACATTTGTAGCAATATTAATGTCCTTTATAATTTTTTTACATTTAAAACATATTGCTATTACAGTTTTACATATTGCACCTAAATTACTGTAAAATCGGCACTAAAATGTCCGCCATTTTGAAATGAGCGGCCATTTTGGAAATCGGCTTTCGAGCAGAACTTCTACCCCCATAGGGTATATGTGTACATAACAAAATATGAACAAAATCGGGCCGACGGTATTTGAGTTATTGCCCGCCCGGACGGACAGACGTACGTACGGACGGACGGGGGCGTTCCCTATATCCCTCCGAACTTCGTTCGATGGGATAATAACCAGTGTCAAAAGTTGTAGTTCTAACTGAGGAAAAGACCTTGACAACAATTGTTACAGTGGTTAATTAATTTACTGATGAGAATGAATGCTGAATTCGTATTGTAACAAAATTTTGAATTTTTTATTTTTGATTTAGTGATGTGTACTCGTTATTATACATTTATTACACTTGATTTGTGGTTCACATGTGAGATCATTGAGATCGTAACGTGTAGCAATGTTTGCAGTACTTTAGTTGTAGTTACAGGGGTGAAATAACGTTTTCATGACTTCGAATTGGGATTTAATTAATGTTGATCGGGTAGTCGATCGGGTACTTTAAATGGAGGTCACTTTTTGGAATTTACTTCCTGCTTCTTATTCCATCGAACCGAAGTAAAACTAGAGTAAGTAGCGATCAATTACTGTTAGATTTATTAAGTTCCAATTATTATCTTGTTGTGTGAGCAATATTAAAGCGGGATATGGCGTCAATAACTTGTTATTTAGCATTGAAATCCTGTTCGTAAAGTGATGACGTCACCAAGCCTATAAAAGTATTTCGCCGATGTAAACTCAGCAGATTACAGCAAGCTTTTGACTGGGACAGAGCTCCGCTCGTGATATTTTGTAAACTGTAGAAATATTCTTTGACTTTGTTTCGTGATACATCTACCTAGTCGGACTTGTACATTTTGCTGTGGATGATAACTTGGACTTAGAATATTTTAATCAATTTTTAATATTCTTTGACTTTGTTCTGTGATACATCTACCTGGAGTTGGACTTGTACATTTTTCTGTAGATGATAACTTGGACTTAGAATATTTTAATCAATTTTTAATATTCTTTGACTTTGTTCTGTGGTACATCTACCTGGAGTTGGACTTGTATATTTTGCTGTGGATGCTAACTTGGACTTAGAATATTTTAATCATTTTCAATATTCTTTGACTTTGTTCTGTGGTACATCTACCTGGAGTTGGACTTGTATATTTGCTGTGGATGCTAACTTGGACTTAGAATATTTTAATCATTTTCAATATTCTTTGACTTTGTTCTGTGATACATCTACCTGGAGTTGGAGTTGTACATTTTTCTGTAGATGATAACTTGGACTTAGAATATTTTAATCATTTTTAATATTCTTTGACTTTGTTCTGTGGTACATCTACCTGGAGTTGGACTTATACATTTTAGTCGTTTATACTAACTTGGACTTAGAATATTTCTTACTCACACTTTGAAATATTCTTCGACTTTGTTCTATTTGAAGTTTGACTTAGATAATTTATTGTGAAACTTCCTCACTGAAGACGTTCCAGTTGACTTTGTCGAACGGACTCACTGAGGCTGGGTCTTTATTTTAGCGACTTTGTCGAACGGACTTCCTGAGGAAGGTGATCCATTGGACTTACCCAGAGGAGGCTACCTGAGGGAGAAGAGGATCCACTGGACTTAGCTGAAGAGGCTACCTGAGGGAGAAGACGTTCCAGTTGACTTTGTCGAATGGACTTCCTGAGGAAGAGGATCCATTGGACTTACCCAGAGGAGGCTACCTGAGGGAGAAGAGGATCCACTGGACTTAGCTGAAGAGGCTACCTGAGGGAGAAGAGGATCCATTGGACTTAGCCGGAGGAGGCTACCTGAGGGAGAAGAGGATCCATTGGACTTCACCGGAAGAGGCTACCTGAGGGAGAATACGTTCCAGTTGACTTTGTCGAACGGACTTCCTGAGGAAGGTGATCCATTGGACTTAGCCGGAGGAGGCTACCTGAGGGAGAAAAGGATCCATTGGACTTAGCCAGAGGAGGCTACCTGAGGGAGAAGAGGATCCACTGGACTTAGCTGAAGAGGCTACCTGAGGGAGAAGACGTTCCAGTTGACTTTGTCGAACGGACTCACTGAGGCTGGGTCTTTATTTTAGCGACTTTGTCGAACGGACTTCCTGAGGAAGGTGATCCATTGGACTAAGCCGGAAGAGGCTACCTGAGGGAGAAGAGGATCTATTGGACTAAGCCGGAGGAGGCTACCTGAGGGAGAAGAGGATCCACTGGACTAAGCCGGAAGAGGCTACCTGAGGGAGAAGACGTTCCAGTTGACTTTGTCGAACGGACTCACTGAGGCTGGGTCTTTATTTTAGCGACTTTGTCGAACGGACTTCCTGAGGAAGGTGATCCATTGGACTTAGCCGGAGGAGGCTACCTGAGGGAGAAGAGGATCCATTGGACTTAGCTGAAGAGGCTACCTGAGGGAGAAGACGTTCCAGTTGACTTTGTCGAACGGACTCACTGAGGCTGGGTCTTTATTTTAGCGACTTTGTCGAACAGACTTCCTGAGGAAGGTGATCCATTGGACTTACCCAGAGGAGGCTACCTGAGGAAGAAGAGGATCCATTGGACTTAGCCAGAGGCTACCTGAGGGAGAAGACGTTCCAGTTGACTTTGTCGAACGGACTCACTGAGGCTGGGTCTTTATTTTAGCGACTTTGTCGAACGGACTTCCTGAGGAAGGTGATCCATTGGACTTACCCAGAGGAGGCTACCTGAGGGAGAAGAGGATCCACTGGACTTAGCTGAAGAGGCTACCTGAGGGAGAAGAGGATCCATTGGACTTAGCTGAAGAGGCTACCTGAGGGAGAACACGTTCCAGTTGACTTTGTCGAACGGACTCACTGAGGCTGGGTCTTTATTTTAGCGACTTTGTCGAACGGACTTCCTGAGGAAGGTGATCCATTGGACTTACCCAGAGGAGGCTACCTGAGGGAGAAGAGGATCCATTGGACTTAGCTGAAGAGGCTACCTGAGGGAAAACACGTTCCAGTTGATTTTGTCGAACGGACTCACTGAGGCTGGGTCTTTATTTTAGCGACTTTGTCGAACGGACTTCCTGAGGAAGGTGATCCATTGGACTTAGCCGGAGGAGGCTACCTGAGGGAGAAGAGGATCTATTGGACTTAGCCGGAGCAGGCTACCTGAGGGAGAAGAGGATCCACTAGACTTAGCCGGAGGAGGCTACTTGAGGGAGAAGAGGATCCACTAGACTTAGCCGGAGGAGGCTACCTGAGGGAGAAGAGGATACACTGGACTTAGCCGGAGGAGGCTACCTGCACGAGACAAGATACTGGTCCTTGTATGGAACTGGATGTTCTTTTCATCGCTTTGATTGTGTGACTTCAATCCAATCCCACAATTGATGTTTATATGTATAGACTCACAGTGAATAATAATAACAATAACAACAACAACAACGAACATTGGTTCTATTCAAGTTTATTGCAAGGACATTTTGCTATTTGATGTACACAATTTTGGGCCTACAGACGCCACAATATATAGTTTGTTGTGTAATAAATATAATTGAATGTTCTGTTGAATCTTTGGTGCAAACACATTTAACGTGTGTCACGTAACCCACAAGGTATACAGCGGCCTATTAGTCCACACTACCATAATATCCACAAAAAGGCCTAACTGTTACACTGGTGGCAGTGGTGGGATTGAATTGTTTCCAGAGATTTGAGCCAGAACTAGAGAATTTACAAGATGGACAAGATGGAACCAGAGGCAGGTCTTCCTTATCCAAGAGATGGAGACGAGTCTGACATGGAGAACACAGTGTTCCTGAAACCAGAGTCAGCTGAAGTGGAAAATCCTGGAGCTGAAGATGAAACTTTACCTGTGCAACAAGATGGAGAACCATTGTCTGATCAACCAGCGGATCAACTTGGTGTAGGCGCAAGAGCTAAAGAACCGAAGCTGGATTCTGAAATGAGCATTTTTCCTGGCATACAAAGTACAGGCTACTGGACAGGAGGAGACTTAGATAATATGGGAACTCCGGCACATCCCATGATTCGAGATAGAAGGAATCCTCCCCCAAGACCACGTTTCCCATTGACATCAACTATCATTAATCGGCCCTCAGACAAAGTTCAAGCAGCCGAAGAGATGAGACAAGAACTAACTATGATTGAGGGACAGCTCAAAGGGAAGATGTCTGTGTTAGGTGACATTGCGGATACACAACAGAAACAGTTGAATGCCATAACAACAACACAACAAATACAGACCAGTAGTATGTCCCAAATAGTGGAACACCTTGCAGAGAGCAAGAATATTCAACAAGGCAGTGAGCAACAGCATGAGAGGCGACTACAAGAGATTGCGGGAATACAAGATCGCCGCTTACAAGAGATGCAACATCGCATGGAATCTTTCCAGAAGACTATTGGTGAGTCTATTGACAAGTTGCACTCTACTTGACCATTCCTCCAGTTCAGCAAGAAGCCGTTTCGCGGTCACAGATCTATAAAGACGTTGGGTACTCTTCAGAGTTTGATGAGAAACCTATGCCAGATCCTGCAGAGATATCTCAAAGGCGACTGTTCAGATCACCTACAATGCCAATGAGTCACGGTCAAGATTTAGAAGATGCGAGTAATCCTGAGTCACTGGCTCCTCAAAGAAAGCGACCATGGCCGTTACGAAGGCAAGACAGAGTCTTTGTGCCGCATCAAGACCAAACAGACCATAGGGAACCTACGGATCCCACTAAGATATTTAATAAACCTGATGAAGTGTATCTTCCTGGAGGCTGGGACGCTAACGAGTTTAGGAGCCAAAGAGAAAGGGATGGACATCTACCTAGAAGTGGTGATCAGACAGCACCATCTCTGGCTGAGAGAATTGAAGATAACAAATTCTCGGGTTTTGATGCCCCTGAACCGAAGATGTCGAAAGATACTAATATACCTGGTGTTTCTACAGATTTCCTTAAGATGTTCAACCACTTCTGTGATAAGTTGTCCCAAGATGACAGGTCCAAGTCCAAGAGTCGAATTAAGCCTGACACTTTTAATGGAACCACTCCATGGCAAGAATATCGAGCTTACTTTGAAATTTGCTGTAAAGCCAATAGATGGACTTCGGAGGAGAAGAATGAGTACCTGGCCACAAGTCTGCGAGGTCCAGCTCAGCAGATTGTGTTGGAGTTGGAAGAGGGATACACCTATGAGCAGTTGATCCTGGCTTTGGAGAAGAGGTTCGGGCCTGGAGGTAAGGCTGAGTTATATGAAGCTGAACTCGTCAGCAGAATGAGAAAACCAAAAGAGTCTCTTGAGGCATTGGGCCAGGACATTCGAAGGCTTACAGCATTGGCCTACCCTGAAATGAGCAGATCATCTCAAGACCGCCTTGCCAGACGCAGCTTTGAGCAAGCTATTATAGAAGAGGACATACGCAGAGCAATCCACGCGAAAGAATGTACAACTCTGGATAAAGCAATAGAAATCGCTCTAAAGGAAGAGTCCTACTTAGAGTCTGAGCGGATTCGGAAAGGACAAAAGCCAAAGTACAGTAGAGTGAGTGCGGTGGAAGAAAAAGAGAGTGAGTACAAGCAGATTACGCAGCTGATAGAGAATATCCAGAAAAGCGTGCAAGTGGAATGCAGCAAGAACTTAGAGAAGATGGTGGAGTTACTGGGACAACAGAAGAAGCCTGAGTTAGAATCAAGGGGAAACCCAATTAGAAAAGTGAAGTGTTTCTACTGCCATAAATTAGGACATGTCCTTGCCGACTGTTACACTAGAAAATGTGCAGAAGAAATCAAGGAAGCTAAAGAGAGGCAGAGTCAAGTTGCAACAGTAAGGTTCCAATCGCTACAAGGGAAGGATGTCAAATCTTCCAGAGATACTAAGAGGATTGTGGCTTCTGGAAAAGTTTGTGACATGAAAGTTGATTTCCTTGTAGACTCGGGTGCAGTTAGTAGTATATTGAGTTTAAAGATCTACAGAGAGATCCCTGAAAACATAAGACCCGAGCTTGAGCCACAAAAGAGGATCATTTTGCAAGCTGGCGGAGAACCTTTAGCTGTTGCAGGTGTTGTACATGTTGACGTACACATAGATGATCATAAACAAAATTTAGAAGTATTCGTGGCTGACATTGAGTTCGAAGGAATTCTGGGTAGCGACTATTTAGCAGCTTCTAGGGCAATACTGAACTATGGCAAATGTTCCATGACTTTTGGACCAGAGAGTCCTAGTGCTGCTCAGGTAGGAGTTAGAGATACCAAACCGTCAACCAATCTGAAGAGAGAAACCAAGAACAAGTGGATTCTTGGAAAAAGAGCAGTCAATCCTTCAGGAAAAGTGACTCCTCCACCGATGGCATCCAAGAGGAGGACCTTGGATTTTCCAGATGGTCACCCGTTACATGAGCAGAGACATGACAGGGACAGGAGATTGAACAAAGTCCCTGGACACCGAGATAACGACCAAAGTACTTCGAGTCATGAAGGCATGCCAAGTACTTATCAAGTGAAGGTGCCTTTGGCTAGAATATATCGAGGAAGATATCAGAGGCCTCGGCAGAGGAGCGAGATTGATGATAACTGGAGGAAGGGTTCCTGGAACCAAAGAGCAACTTAGCAGCAGAGTTGTGAGTTGTGACATTTTATAGCTAACTTGTTTGTTAGAGACTTGAAATCGCAAGTCACCCTTAGCCGGAAGTTGCAATTCTTTTGAAAATAGTAGTTAGCATTTCATGTAGTTAGAAATTTTTGTTTTGGACATTTAACAGTTTTAGGAAACCATAAGATAATGTGTCCAGGATTTTAAAATCGTACATGTACATTGTTTTAGCAATTAGTATTGTTGGTTCGTACACATTATGTAAAGTTTGCATTTTTAAATTATAGTTAGATTTTCGCGTACATAGTTAGACATTTTGTAAGTTGTAGTAGCAACTAGTTGCACACAATTGTAAAGGCGTATTTTGTTAAGGTAGCTAAGTTAGCAAAATTTTGTTATTTTTTTTGTACTTTATGCTTGGTGTTGTAAACACCAAAATCATTGGATTGGAGGAGTGTAACAAAATTTTGAATTTTTTATTTTTGATTTAGTGATGTGTACTCGTTATTATACATTTATTACACTTGATTTGTGGTTCACATGTGAGATCATTGAGATCGTAACGTGTAGCAATGTTTGCAGTACTTTAGTTGTAGTTACAGGGGTGAAATAACGTTTTCATGACTTCGAATTGGGATTTAATTAATGTTGATCGGGTAGTCGATCGGGTACTTTAAATGGAGGTCACTTTTTGGAATTTACTTCCTGCTTCTTATTCCATCGAACCGAAGTAAAACTAGAGTAAGTAGCGATCAATTACTGTTAGATTTATTAAGTTCCAATTATTATCTTGTTGTGTGAGCAATATTAAAGCGGGATATGGCGTCAATAACTTGTTATTTAGCATTGAAATCCTGTTCGTAAAGTGATGACGTCACCAAGCCTATAAAAGTATTTCGCCGATGTAAACTCAGCAGATTACAGCAAGCTTTTGACTGGGACAGAGCTCCGCTCGTGATATTTTGTAAACTGTAGATGATAACTTGGACTTGGAATATTTTCATACTTTGAAATATTCTTTGACTTTGTTTCGTGATACATCTACCTAGTCGGACTTGTACATTTTGCTGTGGATGATAACTTGGACTTAGAATATTTTAATCAATTTTTAATATTCTTTGACTTTGTTCTGTGATACATCTACCTGGAGTTGGACTTGTACATTTTTCTGTAGATGATAACTTGGACTTAGAATATTTTAATCAATTTTTAATATTCTTTGACTTTGTTCTGTGGTACATCTACCTGGAGTTGGACTTGTATATTTTGCTGTGGATGCTAACTTGGACTTGGAATATTTTAATCATTTTCAATATTCTTTGACTTTGTTCTGTGGTACATCTACCTGGAGTTGGACTTGTATATTTTGCTGTGGATGCTAACTTGGACTTAGAATATTTTAATCATTTTCAATATTCTTTGACTTTGTTCTGTGATACATCTACCTGGAGTTGGACTTGTACATTTTTCTGTGGATGATAACTTGGACTTAGAATATTTTAATCATTTTCAATATTCTTTGACTTTGTTCTGTGATACATCTACCTGGAGTTGGAGTTGTACATTTTTCTGTAGATGATAACTTGGACTTAGAATATTTTAATCATTTTTAATATTCTTTGACTTTGTTCTGTGGTACATCTACCTGGAGTTGGACTTATACATTTTAGTCGTTTATACTAACTTGGACTTAGAATATTTCTTACTCACACTTTGAAATATTCTTCGACTTTGTTCTATTTGAAGTTTGACTTAGATAATTTATTGTGAAACTTCCTCACTGAAGACGTTCCAGTTGACTTTGTCGAACGGACTCACTGAGGCTGGGTCTTTATTTTAGCGACTTTGTCGAACGGACTTCCTGAGGAAGGTGATCCATTGGACTTACCCAGAGGAGGCTACCTGAGGGAGAAGAGGATCCACTGGACTTAGCTGAAGAGGCTACCTGAGGGAGAAGACGTTCCAGTTGACTTTGTCGAATGGACTTCCTGAGGAAGAGGATCCATTGGACTTACCCAGAGGAGGCTACCTGAGGGAGAAGAGGATCCACTGGACTTAGCTGAAGAGGCTACCTGAGGGAGAAGAGGATCCATTGGACTTAGCCGGAGGAGGCTACCTGAGGGAGAAGAGGATCCATTGGACTTCACCGGAAGAGGCTACCTGAGGGAGAATACGTTCCAGTTGACTTTGTCGAACGGACTTCCTGAGGAAGGTGATCCATTGGACTTAGCCGGAGGAGGCTACCTGAGGGAGAAAAGGATCCATTGGACTTAGCCAGAGGAGGCTACCTGAGGGAGAAGAGGATCCACTGGACTTAGCTGAAGAGGCTACCTGAGGGAGAAGACGTTCCAGTTGACTTTGTCGAACGGACTCACTGAGGCTGGGTCTTTATTTTAGCGACTTTGTCGAACGGACTTCCTGAGGAAGGTGATCCATTGGACTAAGCCGGAAGAGGCTACCTGAGGGAGAAGAGGATCTATTGGACTAAGCCGGAGGAGGCTACCTGAGGGAGAAGAGGATCCATTGGACTTAGCTGAAGAGGCTACCTGAGGGAGACGTTCCAGTTGACTTTGTCGAACGGACTCACTGAGGCTGGGTCTTTATTTTAGCGACTTTGTCGAACGGACTTCCTGAGGAAGGTGATCCATTGGACTAAGCCGGAGGAGGCTACCTGAGGGAGAAGAGGATCCATTGGACTTAGCTGGGGGCTACCTGAGGGAGAAGAGGATCCATTGGACTTAGCTGAAGAGGCTACCTGAGGGAGAAGACGTTCCAGTTGACTTTGTCGAACGGACTCACTGAGGCTGGGTCTTTATTTTAGCGACTTTGTCGAACGGACTTCCTGAGGAAGGTGATCCATTGGACTTACCCAGAGGAGGCTACCTGAGGGAGAAGAGGATCCACTGGACTTAGCTGAAGAGGCTACCTGAGGGAGAAGAGGATCCATTGGACTTAGCCGGAGGAGGCTACCTGAGGGAGAAGAGGATCTATTGGACTAAGCCGGAGGAGGCTACCTGAGGGAGAAGAGGATCCACTGGACTAAGCCGGAAGAGGCTACCTGAGGGAGAAGACGTTCCAGTTGACTTTGTCGAACGGACTCACTGAGGCTGGGTCTTTATTTTAGCGACTTTGTCGAACGGACTTCCTGAGGAAGGTGATCCATTGGACTTAGCCGGAGGAGGCTACCTGAGGGAGAAGAGGATCCATTGGACTTAGCTGAAGAGGCTACCTGAGGGAGAAGACGTTCCAGTTGACTTTGTCGAACGGACTCACTGAGGCTGGGTCTTTATTTTAGCGACTTTGTCGAACAGACTTCCTGAGGAAGGTGATCCATTGGACTTACCCAGAGGAGGCTACCTGAGGAAGAAGAGGATCCATTGGACTTAGCCAGAGGCTACCTGAGGGAGAAGACGTTCCAGTTGACTTTGTCGAACGGACTCACTGAGGCTGGGTCTTTATTTTAGCGACTTTGTCGAACGGACTTCCTGAGGAAGGTGATCCATTGGACTTACCCAGAGGAGGCTACCTGAGGGAGAAGAGGATCCACTGGACTTAGCTGAAGAGGCTACCTGAGGGAGAAGAGGATCCATTGGACTTAGCTGAAGAGGCTACCTGAGGGAGAACACGTTCCAGTTGACTTTGTCGAACGGACTCACTGAGGCTGGGTCTTTATTTTAGCGACTTTGTCGAACGGACTTCCTGAGGAAGGTGATCCATTGGACTTACCCAGAGGAGGCTACCTGAGGGAGAAGAGGATCCATTGGACTTAGCTGAAGAGGCTACCTGAGGGAGAACACGTTCCAGTTGATTTTGTCGAACGGACTCACTGAGGCTGGGTCTTTATTTTAGCGACTTTGTCGAACGGACTTCCTGAGGAAGGTGATCCATTGGACTTAGCCGGAGGAGGCTACCTGAGGGAGAAGAGGATCTATTGGACTTAGCCGGAGCAGGCTACCTGAGGGAGAAGAGGATCCACTAGACTTAGCCGGAGGAGGCTACTTGAGGGAGAAGAGGATCCACTAGACTTAGCCGGAGGAGGCTACCTGAGGGAGAAGAGGATACACTGGACTTAGCCGGAGGAGGCTACCTGCACGAGACAAGATACTGGTCCTTGTATGGAACTGGATGTTCTTTTCATCGCTTTGATTGTGTGACTTCAATCCAATCCCACAATTGATGTTTATATGTATAGACTCACAGTGAATAATAATAACAATAACAACAACAACAACGAACATTGGTTCTATTCAAGTTTATTGCAAGGACATTTTGCTATTTGATGTACACAATTTTGGGCCTACAGACGCCACAATATATAGTTTGTTGTGTAATAAATATAATTGAATGTTCTGTTGAATCTTTGGTGCAAACACATTTAACGTGTGTCACGTAACCCACAAGGTATACAGCGGCCTATTAGTCCACACTACCATAATATCCACAAAAAGGCCTAACTGTTACAGTATTTTAAGCACATTATTTTCATGATTGTAATGCACATTGGAAATCCTATTACTCAGTCTGCAGGTATACCAAACAGGAAAATATTTTGCTCAATAAGTAATTTACACTGTGATTGGCTGACAGCGTTTACATATGAAGGTCAAGTTAGTATTTAACATGTTTTGAATGTGGTTTAGTCAGAGAAAAGGTTTAACAAAATCATTACCTAACAAAGGTTTAATTATTTTGAAGGAACAGGTGTAAACTAAACAAGAGACAAAAATCATGAATATTATCAAATTCAGAAGCAAACACAAGATGTAAAATTGTTTATATATTTTCAAAGTAGGAAATAAGGAAGAAATCATATCACAGGTAAATATAACTTTTATTTCATGGTTACTGAGATTCTAAGACCTATGTGGATAACAAACTGGAAAATTGCATCTAGAGAGAGGGATGGATATTTCTGAGCTCATTTATTTTAGGAATTTAGCTTGAAACACGTTGACATATAAATGTATTGTAAATTGGTATGGAAGGATTATCTGATACACCTTTTTTGCTTGAGAATAAACCCTTACCAAATGTCAATAAAAATTGACAGATTATTTTTTAGATCCAATTATTTCTTCATTTTCTCTAAGAATATTCTCATATTCTCATCTTACTGACTTTGGTACCCTTGGTTTAGGGTACCAAAATACCTGATGCACCTATTAAATTTTTAAAATTTCAAAAATTTTCAGGAAAGTTATTTAGAAATTCCACTTAGAGGCTTCTTAGCATCAACTTTAATATCTCATTCTGTTTACACATTACAAATAGTTGCTCACTTTCCTTATAGCAATCTCAATGACATCACCAATGTGTGTTTCAGAAGTCACAACATTTTCACAGTATCCACTGGGACATATTCAATACTCCAACAATCTGTGTTAGACTGCTATTAGTGTGAAAGTGCTAATATCCTCTATAACTAGAACCTTCTATAGCCTAGAAAGGTAAGCAAAGAAAATAATTACAAACAATCATGCAAGCAATAAGTCAGAAGTTATCAATAGGAAATCTGAAGCACTAATGGAGATGAACATCACAAAAATTCAACTGTTCAAAGATTGTTCACCTTTGTTTTACTGTAACTTAATGTATGTATACACAATGTACTTTCAGATGTCAGCTGCAGAGTGCAAACAGTTTGAGAAAACGTTCCCTCGAGTTGGCCAGGGAAGTAACACATATATGCAGTCCTGCATGGACATCTGTACAGAATCACACCCACATTTTGAGGAATTATGTCGAAATAACCCTTTGACAATGAAACACTGCTCAGGTTAGCATCCTGTCATGCAATTTTTTGTCTTAAAAGGAAATTTAAAATGAAAAATAGCAGCCATTTTGAATTGAGGGGCCATTTTGAAAATTCCATCTGAAGCAGAGGTCCTATTTGTAAAATGTGAATTAAACTATGTTCAAACTCTATATATCTCTCTCAAAGATGAAGACAAACCCATTTGCTTTATTATCTCCAATATTTGTCTTGATCCTTCCAGAACTCGTCCAATGTCTTGAACAAACTCCAACAACAGTCACCTCTACAATTATAACACCAACTACTACAACGACACCTGAGAATGAGGACCATGCCCATAACATACATGTCCTTTTAATTATCATGCTGACAATTATGAGTGTACTAGCCATACTTGGAATCATATGGTGTATTTGGAAAAAGTGTAACATCCGGAACAGATTGAGAGGATACTTCCAGAGGCCCCAAAAGGAAGAACAAAATGTAGAGGATGGGGTCATCCCAGTCTGTGTTATTCAGACATCAAAGAAGGTTAGAGGGACAACAGAAGTTGCAGAAAACCTTAAGGGTAAGTTCTAACACAGTAGTTATAAATAAATAACGTACAAACCATATGTCTTGGGCTGGGATAAAGATCATGATATGATGGTTTGCCTGGAAGATATAAACAGAGAGGCTCCACCAGTATCTTTATGTTGACCTAAAACATGACAGTACAAATTATGATGTAATCTTTAAAAACAACTCCACCATTACCCAAAATGGGTACCTTCATTCAAACTATGATCTGAGACATCGTTGAACATTGGATGTTTTTTCTTTTAACCCCAACCCCAAATGTGTCCTTTCCTTGAGTTCATGGTTCAACTTGTTTTATACAAATTACTTTGTTTTCTTATGATTTCGTGTTTTAAAGGCAGAATCAGATCTATGGGGGTGAAAAAATTACAAGCAATGTGTACAATTGATTGACCTACTAATCTATTCCTAACAATTTCAAATACAATATCTCCCAAAAGATTCAAGCTATGTTATAAATTGGTAAAGTTATAATGGATTCAAAGTGTACTTGAAATGAGTGAAAAATGTTTAAATAAATTCTCCCAAATAATAAGAATGGTAACAATTCTTATGGAAAAATAATACATTAATTATTGTAAATATCTTTTAATTAGTTTTCCTGAAAAAAAGTATGCACTTTGGTGATGACATGAGCCAAAAATATTCTAAAATTGAAACATTTTTTTGTTGGGCTGCTCGCTAGATCTGATTCTCTCTTTAATCAATTTCCTAAATACTATTGTGCTTTTCTGGTAAAATGTGGATGTTCATTCATCATTTTCAGGTCAAGTATATCTAGCTGACCCAGACAATTCAGGACTCCCTCTCCTCCATCAAGAGAATCCTCCTGATGGCACAATTTAGACTCAGATTTACAAATCAAACTTGTTCTCAAAGCAAGAGAAAATACAGGATAGGAGTGAAACTTCTCCTGATGCCACAATTAAGAAAGACAGTGTAGTATAACAGTATGCCACTACCACATGAACTAACTTGTAGCAAATAAACTCTGCATGTAGAAGAGCAAATGAGTGAAAATGCACCGATAACACAACAAAGAAAGACAGTGTTCTACAACACAGGTATAAACTGGTTGAGTAAACAAACTCTGTCATGAGATAAGTGAAAATAGAGGAAATAAGTGAAAATTGTCCAAATGCATTTATCAAAAAATTATATTGATTCTTCTAAGTTAAAAATACCATTTCATATCTGCTTTAAAGCAAGTTGGCGAAGCACCCACCTGAGATTTTGAAAATAGGGTTGCACCAACCTGAAAATCCATTTGTACCCACTTGAAAATGAGAATTATGAAAAATAGGCATAGTTTGAGAAAATGAGAATTTTGCACCCACCTGAGAAAAAACCTGGGGAGATCACTGTATAATATACTCAAGCGTTTTATTGCATTAGAGTACTGAAGTAAGCATTTTATAAAGCCAATGCCTTTTCATCATATAGCAGTAGCCAGCAGTGGCATATTTGAATTTGTCTTATGAATTCATAATGCTATAACTTCCACATGAGTTTATTCATTTTTTAGGATGAGAATTAATTCCTTTAAAAAGTCTCACTTGGGAGTTTTTCCACTTTCATTCACCATTAATTCAGTTGATCTTGGGACTCTGAAAAGTGTTCCACTAACAGAGGTGTACCAGGTTTCATATGGGATTCTACTCAATCATTTTGTTACTTTTGATGTGATCTCAATTGATAATCTCAAATTATACACACATCATGTACATGTATACCATGGCTTTGTAGAAAAATACATTTATAGTCAATTTAGGTCAATTTTTACTTCATCTATATTAAATGTAGATGTCTATAAATGATGCAGTATGTTCAATGCTTAAATATTTTTTATAACTGATATTAAATTGCAGTAAACAACTAGATTACACATAAAAATAAATTATTATTATTATTTTGAAATTATCATCTGTTTTTATTATGTCACCACCAAAAAGTGGTGACATATTGTTATGGTCTCCATTTTTCAAATACTGTTTGAACTGACTTCAACTTTTTTCAAAATCATCTACAAGTTTTCAGAAGTTCAAATATGACTTTATATTTAAGATTTGACCTTCACTGACCTTTCCAAGATCAAAAAAGGTCAAAAAGGTCAACTTGCCTCAAATTGACCAATCTCTTTTTCAAAATCATCTAGAAATTCTCAAAAGTTCAAATCTGACAATAGACCAGGGTTAGGAATTTGATTTTTTCATTTTATCATTTTATTCCTCAAAACACCCAATTGAGATCCCAATCAACGTACCAGTGACACAACCAATCAAGCGAACAAACAAACAAGCAACAAAATTTATTTACCAATAAATCAACCTTCAAAACGACAAACAATGTCAATCAGTGAGGCAATAAATCAAGCAACTAACGTTGTATTGTAAATCGTATACTAACTAACAGATAAAAACGGCAAATAACGTTTCAATTTACGCGTACGTAAATCTTCCAGATTTGTTTAATATCTAGTAGAAATCGCCATCATAGAAAACAATCATCGATATCCTGTCAATCACTCAGACAATTAATCAAGCAATTAACGTCATGGTACGTGTAAACTGTGTAAATAAATACCTAGGACTTCCGAAATTCAGTCTCTTACAGGTTCTTGGTAAAATGATAACGTAAAAATATTGAAGGGAAGTCTACAAACACAGACACGCGAACAAGAGTCCATCCCCCCAGTGAGTGTGGGGGTAGACTGTATCCTTCGTCTGAATAAATATTCAGACTGTAAGTCACCTATTGTAAAATGTGGTGTTGTAAAAATGTTACAAATAAGTTTGTTTAATGATAAAATGATTACCTTATAAAGAACTTACAATATTATTTTTTCGTATATTGTCCTCTTACTGAAGATATTGATAAAATGTACAGACGCTTCTTGTAGCGAAGCCAAATTGATTAGGTCAAGCCATTTTGGCAATGCCAATTCTCACGATAAACGAGATTTAGCCAGTGACGTCAGTCTATTTGTAAACAAATAACACGTGGAGCGGACGGAGCAACATTACGAAAGCGTATTGATAAATTCCATTTGTGCGGGAATTTATTAGATCTAGTCATTTATTATCATTATCCCGATTAATTTTCTTCATTTATAGTACATAGAGCGGAAATATTCATGAAGAAGGCCGAGGTAATCAAATGGTCATGTGTTGTCAAAGTTCAGAAATTTGCATATCTCGTTTGGATCTCGTGAACTCAAACGTCCTTGACATTGATTTCGCGATCTACTTATGAACACATCCTGAAGGTTTGGTGAGTCTGAACATTTCATTATTTTATATCAACTTGTACCCGCCTTATACAAATATTTTTGCTTCTAGTTTAAGATGAACATCTCTTCATATTCACCAATTTTCAAGGTGAACATTCTTGTAATAAACGAGAAATTTATGTGCAAAAAATATCACCGCGATTTCCACAGGAAATATATCAATCATAACAGACCAAATATTATACTCAGTCTGTTGGATACATACTAAGTGTGATTAAATCTTCCTGCTCCTTTGTCTACAAATGTGCAACTTTGAAAGTTGGTAACCCTGCAAGGAACGTCAAGTACCCGGTTACCCGGCCACACGGTTATTTACACAAACCCGAGAGTGGAGAAGGGCAAAAAGCTCTGTTAGGCCCAAAAAGGACTTGATACAACTTCCTGTGATTTGATTTTGAAAAATCAACCCCACGATTTACAGTCGATTTGTATAGTTGATTTGTATTTTACAGAGGTACAAAAGATTTACCTAATTGTTTCATATGATGTTGTTTCGACACACTTAAGCCGCTACATCTGAAACCCCTTCCAACTCGGAGCAGTCTACTAAAATTCATCATTTTCCAACAAAGCTCAACGTTTCGACCTTCACTTAATTCCCAACTAAACAGATTAACGTGGTTATAAAACTATTCGCTAGAGCGAATTCTTTTAAACGCTCCTTGTTTCTAAATCGTGTATTCCGACGTGTGTATTCATCAATGTCCACCAGCATTCCTATGATTAAAGTGCTTCCAAAAAGTACTCCAAATATCAATAAAGTAAAGAAGGAAAGCAAACTTGTGACAAGTAAAGTCTTCGATTAACATGCGTAAGATACGAACATTTAAGTGCAGAAATCGCTCGCATCTTTGGAAAACCCGGAAGTAGCTCATAAAAAAATTAAAATTTCGAGTCAAGTGGCGTATTAATTTTGCCTTCATTTTTGTGAATTTCAATTTGTGTCTGCAGAGAGAGGGGGTAGTGTCACAATTGACCAATTATTTCAAAAAGTAGATGATTGGCCCCTATCGAGTTTAGTGTCAAGATGTAGCTTAGACATAGCTTTAGAACCTCAGATAGGCCAGTGAGGCCACATAAATCCATAACTCGAGATAAAAAGTCAGGCGTTTGCCCTTTTGCCCATTGACTAGTATGGTGACGTGAATTAGGGCAGTTTTGCCTTTGGTCGCGAGTAAATCTCAGGCACGACGTGGAAATCTGAAATTATAGAGGGCGCAAATCCAAGTGCACTTGTACCGGAAGTCTGTCTAAATATGGCGGGTATACACAAATTCGCAAGTTTGGATGAATGTGAAAAATACCTCGATATATACAAGCAAAAATACCTCGATATATACAAGCAAAATACCCTATCGAGGTGGACGAATGTGCATACCAGGAGTAAATTTGGTATGTAGTAAAATGGGTGCACCCCAGTTGTCCGAAACCCAGTTGTCCGAAACCCAGTTCTCCGAAACCCACTTGTCCGAAACCCATTACTCCGAAAAATATAGTCATAATTTACCAGAGAAAGAGGAGATGTACTAAGCTTAGGCCAGTTTCATGCCATGTATTTGGCCAAATTAATGGCATGGACGCATTCTGATGTTCATAGATCTCTCTCTCTCTCTCACTTTGAATTGCATCCATTGCACGCGTTACCAGAATGGCAGGAACGGGGGATTTATTTTACATTGTGATTCTAAAAAAAGGTTATCAAAACACAATATATATTACGGAACAGTTTATCTTATCTTCTTCAATCTCTTTTATATAGGCAAAATAAAATGAATCATTTTGAAACAGATAAAATAAGTTTACGCATATAGTACTTTAAGAATAAAACAGTATACATATTACGCAGTCAAAATATTTCGTCGCATTTAATTTCTTAGTCTCTGTATTTTATCAAATCGTAAAAGAACAAAACATTCTTAACTTAATCACTTGGGATCAACTGGAAACGAAGGCAGGCTGTCCTCGTATCAAAATGGATGTTCTCCCATTCTCAAGAAGTTTCATTTTCGCCATATACTCACTTCATCCTTTTAATTTAATCTCTATTTCTCGAACAGAGTACGTAAATGAAGAATAAGTTTTGGTTTCAAAAGATGTACATGTCAACCTTACTAAATAAATGCCCACTGGCTTGGGAAAGCTATTTTTCCTTTTATGAACGCTCATCACCCATTGGAAAAATGTTGTTCCCTCTCAAAAAAGGCCCATGGGCCATAAAGAAAATTGGTTTAAAAATTGTAGACCCCTATCTATGTATGTTGTGTAAACACCATTTTACAATGAGAATAACATAATTTAACTTTGTTTGTTTGAACATCTATATCACATGTATATGAACTTTCGTAGGCTAAACATTAAACAATTAACGTCTTCTTGACTTAGCATATTTAGCCTAATTTTGCAATGATGTCAACGTTATTCCAATGTTATGTTGTGATTCGCAGAGGTTGCGACAACGAGATTCGTTTAAAAAAATTGTATTTTTCAAATAAGATCCTCTAATTTTCGGATAACTGGGTTTCGGACAACTGGGTTTCGGAAAACTGGGTTTCGGAGAACTGGGTTTCGGACAACTGGGTTGACCCCTAGTAAAATATGTATTAACTAACTTCGGCTGAAATTACGTACAAGACGGCACAGGCTTATTGCAGAAAAAACGAAAAAATCTGAAATATACATTAGACTACAGTCTGTTACACTGCTTTAAAGGCAAGCAGTTAAACCTGAAATATAAGAAATCTAAATAATAATGTGCAATAATATATAGAAAAATATATTCATATTGCACACTAATGACATTTGTATATGTTGGATAGCTTGTAAATAGGCTCATAAACTCTGTCCCTCTTATATTTTGATGCTTCTCTACCATGTTAATTCTCAAAAAAATAACATGGTGGACAGACCTCAAATTACAAGAGGGCACAGGCTTATTGCACTAAACACTGAATAATCTGAAATATACAAATGTCATTCGTGTGCAATATGAATATATTTTTCTATATATTATTATTATGGCACAATGGTCTATAGATTTCTTAATTTTCAGGTTCAACTGCTTGCCTTTGAAGCACTGTAACAGACTGTAACAAATGTCATTCATGTACATTATGAATATACTTTTCCATATATTATTGCACAATGGTCTCCCAATTTCTTATTTTTGCCGTTCTACTGACGAAATGAAGCAGTGAAATGGACTCTAGTCCTCCTTACAGTGGTATCAAATTGTATTCCCAAATCTCTCCAAAATCTTCTTCAAAGTGTTTTTCAAACTTATATCATTGTTTTTCCAAATCTTTATCTAAAAACTGCATATAATACTGCATATAAAACAACAACTATGGATATCTGCAATTGCCTGGCAAGCTGAAACTGATTGTCACTGGCGGAGGTCAGGGAGGTCAGCAGTGACCAATCAGATCACTTGTTTACTAATGAACCTGCCAAGCAATTGCAGGTTTTCAGAAATTCTCTCTTTTAGACAGCATTATTCACTCTATATCATCTGACTGAGTTTCAATCTTAGGTAAGAGCTACAATCTATCAATTTTCTATCAACTCCTCATGGCTTTTTGAAAATAATACACTAAATATTGTTGAAATCTCCATCTTAACAAGTGGTCTAAGTCAGAGTTGTTCACCTGTCTCTTCTATATACGGCTTACTATTACTTTACCCTTGGCCTATGATGCTTACACTACAGGTACTTAGCTAGGTCTAGGCTAGTCTAGCCTATCAGTCACTCACTTACTCAATTACTAAATTTTGGGCCCCTAAAACCGAAAAGTGGGCCCAAATTTTGAAAATTTGAGGCCCATTTTCTTCAAAATTTGGCCTAAAATTAAAAAAATAAGGCCTTATAAGGCCCAATTATGACCAAAAGGCCCACTTTTTGGGGCCTTAAGGCCTTTTTTGGACTAAAATTTTTTAGGGCCCACTTTTTTTTTCTGGGCCAACCTTAGGGGGGGGGGGGGCTGGGCCCCATGGGCCCCCCCACGGATCCGCCATAGTGACCGGTACACCTTGTGTGCACAGGCGTGCCAGACAATTGCAAATATGCTCCAAATACAACCAAATTTTCAACAACAAAAAATAATTTATAAATGGCACATAAAGCTTTCACGATAACATTACCACGGTCATGGCAGCATCCTTGCGTTACTTAAAAACATGTTATAAAATAGTGATGGTTGTGCCAGGTAGCATGTGTACACCCATGACTCACTCACTTTTCAATCTCTCCCTCACTCATCTCACCGACTCACTCTTCTTGTGGCCCGCCCTAGGTTTAACGTACATGTACGTGTCTATTTTGCCATTACCGCAAAAAAATTAATGCTGTCGTAATGACGGCACCAAAAATGTCATGCACATTCAATTAGTAACTGATATTGAAAATTTGCGACCAATGAAAGCATAGCACGGAAGTTAAACCCAATCACGGCAACAAGAAAATTCAAATTAATAAATGAAAGCCGTGGTATTTAACTTGTTGAACTAGATTGAGATGTGTATTTCCCTTTTCATTTAGTGTGTTATGTAGGGCTTGTACGACTTCCGAATCTGGATGATCATGATTTTGTTTTTGAAAGCCATGCACTCACAAAGTTTTAAGTAGGATTTAAAAAACCCGTGATGTCATTTATTCACTAATACATTGCATATTCATATCCATGGGTGGTCAAAGCAAATTGGTATCAATTTTGATAACTTTTAAATGCTATGTATTTAAAGGCTTAACTGCTCCTGAATTTCTTAGTGGTGTTAAGATGACCACCCAAGTTCAGTGGCGGAAGCAAGCAGAAGATGGTATCAAAATTCCCTTTGATGGTGTACCCTTTTTCATCCTTGGTAAAAAACAGTATGCTTGTCACAGAGGCAAGGATAAAGATAAGCCACAGAAGGAGAAAAGGAAATTGGCCAATGATGCCAAATGTGTAAGTGTAGCTTAAAGGCATGTATATGTACTAATGAATTAGACTGGAGGATTAATTTTATTTTATTAAACGCTGGAACGGAAATATACTATTTGCTGCAGGGAACCCGTCAAACATGGATCAAAACTTAATACTCCATTACTCCATCATTTAGTGCCCCTGTAATATACCACAGACTCATCTTCATTACAATTATTCCTTGAGAAATATTGCTAATATTCTTATGTTTATCTGTGCACCTTGGGACCTGTAAACAGCATAAAATAATCACACATTATATACTGTAGCTGAAATACATTCTTTGTCAATATGCTGTTCCATATACTTTCAGGATAAAGATCACACTTTTTCAAGGTTAAGGAAGAAGACACTGGTGCAGGATACCAAGAAAGTGAATTGTCCTGCACAAATTTTCATCGACAGAGTTCTTAGATTCCCACAGTACAAAGTAAGTACAGTATATAATATATTCTATTTGACATATAGTTCGCATTGTATTCCTTATATGATGCAGATATGAATGAACATAATGTTTATAATTGTCTGGAAATATCAGGGAATTTAATGTAATCTGAGTTGAGAAGTAGTGACTCTGTTGTGTCCATCAGTGAAAAATGAATGAACATAGAATGTACCATGACAATACTAGCAGTAAGATACATGCGCATGGACCTTGCCATCAGAGAAATACAATACATGTACTAGTATAAGATCTGGGAGTTTATTTTTAACATCTGGAATTTCAATCTTAATAGTTGAAGGAACCATATATTGTATTTTCATAATTTTAGTACCGGAGTTTCTCGCGAATAGGCCCATGGGCGTTTATTTGAAAGAGGTGTGTATGAAAAAGTTTTTTTCCCTCTTTATAAAGGCCCATGGGCGTTAATTAAAAATTCTTTCAAATAAACGCCCTATGCAAAATAAACACCCGTGGGCCTATTCGCGAGAAACACTGATATGTTCTTTTTTGCTTGACTGCTCTCTAGATCTGATTCTCTCTTTAACAGCACTTTCAATGTATTTGTAAAAAACTAAATGAAGGCAAATGTAATTATATTATATGTATTTTAACATTTTCATATCTGATATAAGAAGGTCATTATGTTACTAGGCAAGGTCTTCCTCTGAAGGGGATAAGAAAATTGCTTCTAGGGCATTGCGCCTCGGATTGACCACAAAGGACTCAAAGGCTGCAGCTGGAGCTGAGGAAGTATTCTTGATGAAAATACCTGACAACGGAAGTCACAGGGGTCATGTTACAGATATTGGAAGTGTTGTGAGTATACAATTGATTTATGTGTCAATCTCTCAAACCATAAAGATGTTTCTAATTGGGTGTCTACAAAACTAAGACCTACAAAACTAAGACCCCCCACATTATAAAACTAAGACCCTGTTATAAAACTAAGACCCCCCATGTTATAAAACTAAGACCCTGTTATAAAACTAAGACCCCCCACGAAATAAAACTAAGACCCTGTTATAAAACTAAGACCCCCCACGTTATAAAACTAAGACCCTGTTATAAAACTAAGACACCCCACGTAATAAAACTAAGACCCTGTTATAAAACTAAGACCCCCCACGTTATAAAACTAAGACCCTGTTATAAAACTAAGACCCCCCACGTAATAAAACTAAGACCCTGTTATAAAACTAAGACCCCCCACGAAATAAAACTAAGACCCTGTTATAAAACTAAGACCCCCCACGTTATAAAACTAAGACCCCCCACGTTATAAAACTAAGACCCTGTTATAAAACTAAGACCCCCCACGTAATAAAACTAAGACCCTGTTATAAAACTAAGACCCCCCACGTTATAAAACTAAGACCCTGAATTTTCTTTCTTCAAAAATGAATGTTCTTGTTCCTCTTTGAGGCTCTTCCAATTCTAAGCATGTTAAATAGTTAGGAGCTGAATATTTTTTTTAAATGCCCATGGGCAATTATTAGAAAATGATTGCAATTAAATGCACATTAGGGCACTTCAATGAAAATGGATTTTCTTATTTCAATTGTTTCTTGCCAGTTTTCTAAACATGTTAACCATATTCTAGAGTTATAGGCTCACTTTGATAAATGCCCATTGCCCGTTGTATTGAAACTAATATCCGTAATGTGAATTTTAAAGTTATTTGCCAATATGTAGCGCCCATATTTGAGACACAAATAATCCAGAGAAATCGTCTTTCACAATGCTCTGATATTTCATAAAATAGAATGTAACATCATGTAAATGACATGACACTCAAAGGATTGCTGAGTAATTTCTAATTATTCCTTACGTAGGAAAACTCTTAGGCCATTCAAAGTTTTTTGTATGATTTATGTTGCTTACCTTCTATGTTTTCAGAAAATAAAGAAAATGTTTCCATGTACTCTGTGCTTTTAATTAAATGTCAAATAGAACTTTAAAATTGTGTTCTTAGATCATATTGAAGAGAAATGAGTTCCGAGATTGATTAAAAATGATGTATTTAAGATTCAGTATGTTGTCTTCATTAACAAGGTTATCTGAACTCTAGAGGTGTGTCACTTGATTTGTCAGTATGTGTTATAGTATTTTCACTACTGAATAGCATATCAAACCCGTTAACATAATTAAAGATTTTGTAGTTTTTAATATAAGGCTCTTTATCAGAACAAATATAATTAATTTTGAATGGCCTAATCTGTAGAGGTGTCACGGTTTCCCGATATTGGACCGAATTTCGGTCCAGATGCTTCAGATGCGATTTCAGGTAGAAATCGAGTGCATTATCAGTATGCCAGATGAAGGAAAGAAATTGATAAATCGAGCCTGCATCTACTAAGTCGAAAAAGTCGGCAGTTTGGAAGTATTTTGGGACTCCGATATCACAAGGTATACCAATTGGTCATAGTTCACCGTACAGACTATGTGAAATGCCGATCACATTCGCGGCAGATGCTTTATATTCGATTTTAATTGACGTTTTTTATTTCTGAATGTGATTTTGAAAAGTGAAACTGAAAGTGAAACTCATCATCAGACATTGCATCATTTTTAATGTTCTGTCCCGTCCCGTCCCGAAAGTACCGTGTCCCGAGACCATTTGTACCGTTCCGTACCGTACCGTACCGAAATTATTTTGGACCGTGACACCTCTACTAATCTGTACATGCAGTTATGTAGTGTACATGTATGCTCAGCTTGGCAGCCATATTGAAAACATAAACTACAGTGGGGGACAAAAATAAAACTCAACGTTCACAAGTTGTCACAATGAGCTTATTTCCAAGTTTCGTGTCTCAAACTCTCCCAAGGGGTAGAAAAATAATTCCCGTTCACTAAAGTAGCACAAAAAATGAATCCAAAGCTTCATACCTGCAAATAATGGATAAATCCCTACCAAATCGAATGAATGTTTTCATGAATCGCCATGTTTGTTATCCAAGGACGGTTGACTCCCAGAATGCAACATCAGTTAATCGTATTTACTCATGACAGGTTTCAAAATGGCGGAACAGCATTTTGAAAGCTGGCACGTGTCATGTTGCATTCTGGGAGCCAATCCTCCGTTCCGGCGCAATCGGGCGACAAAATCACCTCAACATTTGAAGAGTCGGCATAACATGTGAATATCCAATTCAACTTTTGAAGTTCTTATTTGTCATTAGGGACACAAATTCCACTATATTTGGACTTACTAAGACGGAGAAAATAGAGCACTGAATACACTGAGGTAAGAATTGATTACATGCGCGACAGCATGTAATTTTCATAGCTTTTGCAATTCTTTATGATCCCCACTGTAGTCAGGCTTATTTTTATCACAAAAGTTAGGTTTTAGTGGTGAGCCCACACACCCACAACAATGATATTTGCAGAGAAACTTCTTTTCGATCACTTTATTATACAGTTTCAATATCTTTTTTGTGGGTAAGTGGGCTCACTGTGAACTTTTCAATGAAAGGGGATGAGCACCCTGCTAAAACTTGATAACAAAATGAACAAAAATGACAATTTTTCCAGATTTGAAAAGATAAACTATACATATAACTGCATTTTGTCAATGTTCTACTCCGAAAGCCTCTTTGTCATATGATCTATTTAATAAATTCCATGTAATAATTAGTTTTGATGTTTTTCTCCTTTTCTCTATTTGACAAAGAAGACCATGCCAAATAAGGTGCATTTTGGTGAAATGAAAGTTTATTTCTGTCTTAGGTATTTGTTATTTGTAGTTTCCTATATGAAAACATATTACATATTTATCTACTGTGGAGGCCAGACTAAAATACAAGATTCTAAATATAAGAATATGAAAGAATTTTTCAATCAGGAAGATCATTTGTCTGTTCATTTTTTGTGTTTTACATGGTAAGATCATCCTTGTGGTCAACATGTAAGTTCAAAGCTGTAAGATTTTTTATTTTCAGTTTGTGCACCTGATGGTAAAATTTTGCTATTTTTCTCCACAAATACAGCAAGGCAAGGTTTACTCTTTTATAAGCATAAAACAAAAAATACTATATGCTTATGCTTAGGGTCAAGTCTTATTAGGGTAAAGTGAGCAACGACCCATATTCAGACCCGATTCAGACAGTCCTCAGTGGCGTAGGAACAATGTACGCCAAAACGCCAGTGCGTAGTGTTGAAAAGTGAGAATAAAAAGGCTTATCAATTTTCCTATGTTCTTTATTCATATTTTCTCATTGTATTATCCAAAAGTAATCTCGAGCACGCTAGCCTAAAGAAATGTTTTGTGGATACCATATGATACGCTCGATTTTTTCAATAGTACTTCTTTGCATGGTTTTTGTGACTCACCCGGGCCACAGATAAATGACACTTCTTGAAAAAGAAAATATTGAAAGTTACCTTGTTTCTACAGTTCTAATACTGTAGAAAATGCAAAGTAATCAGTATTGCTCTGTTTGGCAAATACTCATTTAACAGATGAATTCCATTGCCAACATGTTTTATTTCATGAAAATCGAGCCACTATCGACTATCTTATGGATTTTAAAAGTAAACTACAATTTCGCCAAATATTTGTGATTCGCGTTCTCTTCACGAATTTGAGAGAAAAACAGTTTTTGATGAATACCTTTGCAATTTTTGTGCATGTTCCGTAATACTTATGCAAACTGTGGTATCATTTAATTATCATGACGAACCTCTTTAAATCAGATGTATTTTTTTATTCTCCCCTATCCCCAATTTTTCAATTTCACTATATCGATTTATATTCCGTTGCTAGGCAAAATCATAGACAGAAATTATAGTTAAGTCAGCAATTATCTATTTTCTTACTTAATCACCAATTGCTATTTGTAGTACATATTGAAATATGAATGTTAAAGATTAAAAAGATATTGTATTGGGAAATATAACATTTTTGGCTCCCCCTAAGTCACGTTGACCTCGATTTGACCTTTGTGGTGGGAGATTTATTTGGTCTTGCGAATTAGTGTTATAAAAAAGGTTGCAGACATTAGGATATTGTATAATTGATCACTAATGTGTTTCTTTAAATCAATTGATCAAACTAGACCTTAACCTGTACGTATTGTCGTATTGCACGGCACACGTTGTTATTTGGAAATCATTGTTATTTGGAATCGGTCGACTATATCGTTCGAGACATACGAAAAATGAGAATGATTTGTGTCGAGATTGGAAAGATCGGCTTTCCATGGTGATTTTAAATAATGAAAATCATTCGAACATTTTAAGCACATTAAAAAGGTATCAGGGATTTTAAGCTTGCATATAAAATCGAAACGCCAACCTATACGTATGACCAATCGCCCATACAAATGCATCGCTTAATAAATATTTCCGTTCACATTTAGGTTGTGAAAACATTGCACGCTTAAAATCTCTATTGCCATGAAATGACGTTTTACGATCATAAAATAGGCCTTTTGATAAAGAAGCTTTGACACAATTGTTTCATATTTTTGGCGGGATTTTTTGGCGTAGTGTTGAATTAACACCTTCCTACGCCCCTGGTCCTGGGATGGGGGTTCTTACTGCCAATTTTTCTTAGAAACTGAAAACTCACGACACTTTTTGGAATTGCACATCTCAAGAAAAAAGGTTTATCTACATCATGCAATTGATTTTAAAAGTAAATGGAAGAATGAGATTTTTGGAAAAAGCTTAAGTGGACCAAAAGCCTGGTAAATGGACCTCTTCTTTAAAATACTGCAATTTTTTCACATCCGATAATGAAATACATGTAATTCTATTTTCATGATTGCTTCATTTCTTATAAAATTCATTTCTAATTCTGTCAAATAAGTACACCGAACAAAGGTATGTAATGGAGATTCTACTTCTCCTGTATTACACAGTGACAACTTGTTTTTTTTAAATTTTTATTTAGCATTTAAACTGTCATTAAGACAAGAGGTGTTGCATCTTGTTTGTTAAATATCTTCTACAAGAAATATTAAAATGATCTTTTAAATAGTCACTTATTACATATTGATCCTTTGAGTAACTCATACATGACACTGGCGGATATGGGGGGGGGGGCCCAGGGGCCCGGCCCCCCCCCCCCCCCCTTGGGTAGGCCCAGAAAAAAAAAATTGTGCCCAAAAAAAATTTTGAGCCAAAAAAGGCTTTAAGGCCCCAAAAAGTAGGCCTTTTTGGTCATAAATTGGCCTTGTAAGGCCTTATTTGTTAATTTTAGGGCAAATTTTGAAGAAAATTGGCCTCAAAATTTCAAAATTTGGGCCCACTTTTGGGTTTTTGGGGCCCAAAATTTTTTACAGCGCAAGCGCGGAAGTTTTTTTCTCAGACCACAAGTTTGGGCCCCCCCCCCTTGTTGGTTCCCAGATCCGCCCCTGCATGATAACCTTATACTGATAATACATGTGACAGCATTATTGGAAATAAACATTTATTTTATTTTTTTAGATTATCAATAAAACTTTGGTATTCTTGTTACATTTGTTTTCCTTTGTTTTAATGTGGGGGTCGTCGTTTTATAACAGGGTCTTCGTTTTATAATGTGGGAGGTCTAAGTTTTATAACAGGGTCTTAGACCTGTATGTTACTGGGGAACTCGAGGGATAGAGCCGAGACTACCTTAAAATTATGTATATGTATATGTTACTAGGAAAACAAGGGTCAGAGGCAAGACTACCTTATGTATATGTGCAGGTACGCATAGGAGTATAGTATTATATTGATATTGCTGACTTTGGGAGAGATCTATGTCTAATTTGCTTTTCGAGTCCTTGCACACGTCTGTGGTAACGCAAGGCGGGCAAACCTGAGGGAAACAAGTAGTCTAGTTTTCAACAGCTCCAGTTCATTTGTATATTTTCAGGGAATATCTTCAGCTAGAACGCAACATTACCAAATTACTCAAATTACTGATTTGAATTGATGAGCTCAGTATAGCGTATCATAACTCTGTGCCACATCCACTTCTCAAAGGGAAAGAGATTACTATCTGTTGTGGTATGAATCGATGACTAGATGGTATGCCGGGACATATTGATGTTTGACTAGTGGTATGGAAATACATTGAAATTTGACTAGATGGAATGGGAATAAATTGTTATTTGACTTGATGGTATGCGAACATATTGATTTTTGACTAGATGGTATGGGAATGTATTTAATTGATATTTGACTGGGTGGTTATGGGAACATATTGATATTTGACTGACTGGTATGGGAAACTTATTGATATGTACATTTATGGTAACATATTGATATTTGACTGGATGGAATGGGAATATATTGTTATTTGACTGGATGGTATGTGAACATATTGATTTTTGACTAGATGGTATGGGAATATATTTAATTGATATTTGACTGGATGGTATGCGAACATAATATTGATATTGATTGGATGGTTTGGGAACATATTGATATTTAATTGGATCGTATGGGAATATATTGATATTTGACTCGATGGCATTGGAACATATTGATATTTGACTCGATGGTATTGAAACATATTGATATTTGACTGGATGGCATTTGAACATATTGATATTTGACTCGATGGTATGAGAACATATTGATATTTGACTGGGTGGTATTTGAACATATTGATATCTGACTCGATGGTATTGGAACATATTGATATTTGACTGGATGGTATGAGAACATATTGATATTTGACTCGATGGCATTGGAACATATTGATATTTGACTGGATGTTATTGGAACATATTGATATTTGACTCGGTGGCATTGGAACATATTGACATTTGACTCGATGGTATGGGAGCATATTGATATTTGACTCGATGGCATTGGAACATATTGATATCTGACTCAATGGCATGGGAACATATTGATATTTGACTGGATGGCATTTCAACATATTGATATTTGACTCGATGGTATGGGAACATATTGATATTTGACTCGGTGGCATTGGAACATATTGATATCTGACTCGATAGTATGGGAACATATTGATATTTGACTGGATGGCATTTGAACATATTGATATTTGACTCGATGGTATGGGAGCATATTGATATTTGACTCGATGGCATTGGAACATATTGATATTTGACTCGATGGTATGGGAACATATTGATATTTGATTGATGGTATGGGAACATATTGATATTTGACTCGATGGTATGGGAACATATTGACATTTGACTAGATGGCATTGGAACATATTGATATTTGATTGGATCGTATGGGAATATATTGATATTTGACTCGATGGTATGGGAACATATTGATATCTGACTCGATGGTATAGGAACATGATTGGATGGTATTGGAACATATTGATGTTTGAACACGGAAGGAATTAATATTTGATGCTTTATCCTGGGAGACGTCAACATAACAATATGAATAGAGAACCCTGGGATCCCAACCTTATTACATTTATAATAAATATCCATGTCTGATTACTTTTATATTTTAAGGAAGTCATCCAGAGGTCTTGGAAAATGTCTACTCGAAGTTTTCTACACGTCGTCAAGAAAATAAATAACGTTGACCAAGGCTTGATAGACCGATGCACCCGGTTTATGGTCGGAGACAAACAGATCGGAATAATTCTTCCAGACAGTCTGGCAACGCTTGAAAAATATGTGGACACATTTGACAAAACGCTGAACGATAAAAACCAAATGTGTCTCTATCTGAAGTCAAAATATGACACGTTTGAAAGTAGAAGTGAACAGTTGGCTACAGTTTTAACAGATCTTAGAGCACGTGACGTATTCTCATGTTTGAAAGGTTGGAGAAATGAATGCTATAATGCATTTGATAGATTCTGTGATCCACCTTTATTCAAAGTAGAACGATCCGCCTCGGGACTACTAGGGATTAAAGCATCCGGAGTTCACATCAATGGGTATGTTAAAACCATTGATGGGATAAAACTGTGGATTGCCCGACGTTCATTAACTAAACCAACATATCCTGGGCTACTAGATAATATCATAGCAGGCGGGATCGAGGCTGGACGTGGGTTTCTAGAAACAGCTCGGAAAGAATCCCAAGAGGAAGCTAGCGTACCTGACGAGCTATTGGGAAACTTGAAACCAGCTGGCTGTGTTAGTTACTGGTACATGGATGACAGAGGAATACTACCAGAGACCGAGTACGTCATGGACATCGAACTACCTTCAGAGTTCCAGCCCGTTAACTCCGATGGAGAAGTTCTAGAATTTTACTTGTGGTCCATTGATAAGGTACACAAATTACTAAATCATATGTAAATACCCATTCTGTTGGGACCCCTTAGCGAGAAGTTCTAGAATTTTACTTGTGGCCCATTGATAAGGTACACAAATTACTAAATCATATGTAAATACCCATTCTGTTGGGACCCCTTAGCGAGAAGTTCTAGAATTTTACTTGTGGCCCATTGATAAGGTACAAAAATTACTAAATCATACTTAAATACTCAATCATGTTGGGAGCTCATAGGAGGATGCCTTAGCTTAACCCTCATGAATTCTAAAAAGTTCATTTTTGTTATAGTCTCCAACTTTTTTGTGATCGACGGTTGGCGTTCGGTAACAAATGGCAGGTGATGGCATTTTGCATATTTATGCCTTGTATTTCCTTATCGACATATCTTCCTACTGTTCAAACTCAATAAGGGTCAAAAGGGATCAATTTTAAACAAAAACTATCAGAATCCGTCCCGAATGTGTAGTCCATACTACATAAACCTCCATAAATGTTTTAAAGTTTGTGTTACGGGACCACTACCTGTGATTCAGCGTATTTGGAAATCAATTTATTTATTAAATGATATTGTGTTTCAGGTACAAGAGATGTTATACCTACATCTTGACCAGTTTAAACCAAATGTAGCTGTCGTCATGTTGGACTTTCTTATTCGTCATGGATACGTACACCCGGATAATGAACCTAACTACGCTCAAATTGTACAAGGAATACATAGGACACATTTCTAGATTGTTCACCCGGATAATGAACCTAACTACGCTCAAATTGTACAAGGAATACATAGGACATATTTCTAGATTGTTCACCCGGATAATGAACCTAACTACGCTCAAATTGTACAAGGAATACAGAGGACACATTTCTAGATTGTTCACCCGGATAATGAACAAATTATACAGGGAATATATTGGATATATTTTTAGATTGTTCACCCGGATAATTGCTCACCGTTTCGGTTTAATGCCTTCATTACTTGTATTATGAGATCAGAGGAATTGTAAAAAATGAATACTAGTATTTTGAAATGTTCACCCATTTGACTTTTACTATCGATCATATTAACAGGACAGGACATATTCACAGTTAAAAACATATGATATACTGTTTGTTTGTTTTTATTTCAGAAATATATTTTGCAATTAATGAACGGAATGTTAAACATACGGGCGTACATGTAGTTATCAAGTAAGCACTGTTTTTAGAACGTGTACGTAAAACGCGTAGAATTATATGTCCCTATTATATGGACTATTTTCATCTATCTAGCTGATATTCATTCGCTCAATTGAGTATGAAGGTGTGAGGAAAACAAATGTAAGTAAACGTTTTAACCAAGTGAGAGGTGATCATAATATTACACGTTTCCTTTCAATTTCTCACAAATGCGTGTAATTTCACCTGTCTATCATTCTTGGATATGCTATATCTAGTAAGAGTGTAGTACGGGGTGACCCAAAAAATGTTACCCACTACATGTAATTTTGAAATAACTCTCAATAATTAGAAATCTTCATGATTTTATATGTGTAGATAGAGTGTTCAAAATTGTAAATTAGAAAATCTGTCTTTCTTAAAATTCACCTAATAAGCCAGTCAGTTCATTAAATGTGACAAAATTATTTAAGAAAATTGGATAGACAAAAGCAATCCAACAAATGACTCAAATAATGGCTAAGACAGAAATCTCATTTCAGAAAATTGTGTTTTTAAACATTTTTTGATGATTTCACCTAGAGCATGCCTGGACTGAAAATGTGATATCACTAAATCTGAAAGTCGTCGATGCTATCCAAGTACAACAATCTTTGTTCCATTTAACACTCTATCGACACAAAAACCACAAGCATAGGATTTGATCCTATCTTTTCAGATTAACTATTGAGAGAGTTATTCCAAAATTAGTGGGTGGTATTTTTGGTCACCCTGCACAGAGACCTAAGACGCATTGTCGTTTAATTGATACTGAATACTAGCGTCCAAGCTGTACGTGTCCTGTTAGCGTTGATCCAGCTGACCTAAGAGCAAATGTAGCTTTTGCAACTTCTTTCTGAACCACGCGCCAACGTTCTGCTTTCTCGCCAACCGCAGCATCTTCTGCGTCTGCAATAGCGTCGACAATACCGGGAAATCCGACCCCAGCATAGGCGTTACTTCTACTTGGAGCTGCTACTATGTGACGATATAGAGGTCTCCCTGGCAACCCCAGCGGATCAATGAATGCTCGTTCCAACAACATCATCTTATCGTTTAACATTCTCACCGCCATTGGATCTTGTCTATCAACTTCATCCACCATTGTATTAAACAAATCAGTTGCCTTTGTGAAATTACCGACAGCCTCTTCAAACTTTGACAGTGTTATGTTGTTTTCAGAAAGTTTGGTCGCGTAAAGTTCTTTAATTCCAACAAACATAGCGTTGATATCTTTAGAATAATAATGGACATCCATTGCAAGGACAAGCTCATCCGCAAGGAGTCTTACTGCTTCGCCAACTAGTCTGGCGACTGCTTGTTGGTACTCAAACGTGGGATCAATGAAGTTCTTCACTGCACTGAACATCTCATATGCACTATGATAGAGAGGGTATCCCTCGCCTCCAAAGCTTCCAGAGGTCATACATGGAACACCTATTCTATTGTAAAACGGGGCGTGGTCGCTTCCCGCTCCCAGTTTATCGATACTTGGTTCAACTCCCGCGTCATTCGGATCTTTACCTTGTCGAGAAGTCCAGAAATCACGAAGCGTATCAAATTCTGCATCTGGTGATTTGACAAAATCAGTAGCTCTATAAATTATATTTTTGAGAAGTGGAGAACTTGATGTTGAGTAAAGCCTTCGACCCATTGCTGATATGTCTGCGTTGATGTATGCAACCGCACGTTCAGCTAGGTTTTTGGAGAACTCTTCGGAAAATTCATTGGCACCGATCAAGCCATATTCCTCAGCGCCCCAACTTCCAAGAATGATGCTTCGACGTGGACGCCACCCCTCTTTCAGTAGTTTCCCGAAGACCCTCGCTTGTTCGTGTAAAAGTGCGGTGCCCTGTACGTTATCAATTGCTCCAAAGACCCAAGCATCGCGATGACCTCCTACCATGACGTACCTATCTGGTTCAATACTTCCTCTGATGATCCCTATGACATTATAGGTTGTGCGGGTCTCCCTCGTGTTTTTAGAGACTATTTTTACTCTCCTGTTGTTCACCATTCTAGAACCTAACCTATACGTAGTGTTCATCTTTCCCCGCCATTTCTCGGGTGCTTCGTCGCATGATGGATCCATGCTTTCAAAGAACTTGATGGCATCGGCGTAACCTATCGGTTGTGCAGGAATTTTTAGCAGACGAATCGCATTCTCTGCCTCTTCGATTGAAATACGTGGTGTAAAGTCGATTGCTGGGTAACCGGGTGTTAATGGGTCGCCATAGCCTATTAGTGTTGAGCCTCGTTGTGCTCCGTAGCCAGGAAGCCATATTGAATCTGGAAAAACACCAGCGCCATCTTTAGTTACGTCTCCAGGATCAGAAAAGAGAATGACCCCCTTAGCTCCATACAACTGTGCATGTTTCACTTTATCTCCGCGGTAAAGTCCACCATATCGAGCAATAACAATTTTACCAGTAACATCCACGCCCAATTCACCAGTCAGCTGCTTGAAGTCTTCTAGAGAACCGCGATTTGCATACACAAGTTCCCCTTCAACCTCGCCACTTGGTGTGTATGCGAGCCACGGTGGCAAAGCGTCTGATCTATTCATTTGTGGATCAAGGATTGGTTCGTTCAGTGTAGCTTGATGCACCAATGTATCGCCCTCTAGAATTTGCAAGGTATTTGGATTCGTTTTTACATCCCCGGGATATGAAAGTAGCACATCGTATGGTAATATATTCACTTCATCGAGACCAAATTCCAACCATTTCTCTCTGATATAATCCGCTTGTTCCAAATCAGCAGGAGTTCCGGCCACATGGGGTTGAGAGGAAAACACTTTAAGATGCTCCTCAATGGCTTTATTGTCAATCTCCTCGGTGATTCTTTTGGCTATCATATCATCTGCGTCCTTGATGAGTTTTTTGAATCTGCTGAATTCAGGGTTAATGTCATCTCCACTTGTACCCCGTGGTATACCGAAACGTCCAAGCAGAATACCGGCGCCTAAAAGACAACCTGCCAGCATCACACCTATTACAACCAACACCCCTCGATTAACGGCCATTGTAAGGTGGGTGGATTTATCTGAATACCATAAATAGAGTCTCAGACCTTTCCAATAGTTCGTTTTGCTTCTTTAAAAAAGAGTCGAATAGTTCGTAATAGTTTTGTCTACATCTGAGGCTGTGGTAGTCTCAGGCTTTGACCATCAGACTCCTGGGATCGGAGTTATCGCTCGTGAAGTGTATTAATAAAGTTATCGTCGCAAATTAAAAGTAAAACTGGCCATCATTGTATTTCGAACATGTCTTTGATGGCGTGACATGTTGTTGATAGATAAGATAATATTTTCACAAGTGAATTTTAGTGTAGTTATTAACATTCTCTTATATTCAAATTCGTGTTAACATGTGAACATTCAATTGTATTCATCATGTGATATGGTAAGCGTAAGCTTACTCATTTTGTGACCATCCGTCATTGTCAACTGTCAATAATCAATTAGAAATTATTTCTTGAGAAAATGAGACCTTCAAAAAGATTCCATTAAACCCTTGAAATTGAAAATATATTGAACATGCAAGGAAAATTTTGGCATGGATTTTGAAGATTGCTTTCAACATTTGACACTCGCTATTCCTTCCAATTCTTGGATGAAATAAATGACACAATTAAATACACGATTGGAAATGTCGGAGTGTCAACTTTATATATATGGTTACCCTACTATCACACCAAACTAGTTCTCACTACGTTCTCGAAAACGGGCTTCAACTGTGTACGAACGGACTGGACCTACTAAGAACCGTTTGGGATCTATTTACAAACTTCATCGAACGTACTCGAACGGGTAGGTCCTCTAGAACTTAGACAATGCTCAAAATGTTCTCGTGGTCGTCATGTTCTACAATTAGAACGAGTGACAACGTACTAACGACGAGCTGGACGTACTACGAACGGAACCGTCGTACTTCAATCCTACTAGGGACGTTTTAACAACGAGTTGAACTGTCTGAGGACGTGTTGAAAACGAGGTAGAACTAATTGCAAACGGGTTTAAACTGATTAAGAACGTATTTAACACTGCTTATGAACGAGTTAGCAAAAATATAGCCTAGCTATCACACCAAACAAGTTGCCACTGCGTTCTTCAAAACTGGTTTGAAACTGTGTGCGAATGGAATGAACGTAGCTGCAACTTTCTAAGGTCTATTTACGAACTTTATGAACGTTCTCAGACGGGAATGTGATTTTAGAATTTTGAATCGATTCAAAATTCGATGGCGACCATACCGTTCTGTAATCAGGTCATGTTGACCTTCTAGACTAAGGGACGCGTTCTACGACGCTGCACACCGACGTGGTGCGACCTGAACGAACTGCGAACGAGATGGACGTATTGAAGACTGTTTAAGACCGAAGAAGCTAATTATTTCAGACATATTTCCCGACCACAGCCAGATTGAGCCCGTTTTACGACGTTTTCGTAGGACTGGCAAGAACGGGTAAGAACTAGTTTGGTGTGATAGGGGGGTTAGCTTTTCAAGTTTCATTATTTAATGTGCAAAATTGTCTCTATGATCATTCCATCATAAACTAAAGGGATTAGGAGTAATGTACTCAATTTTTGACTCTTATCCTTCCATGATGATTATAACGTCCAAGAATTCTGAGTTTATTTCAGGATAATTCATGTATCGGATAATCCAATACATATTTAAACGGGGAAGGATTCATGACTCGTTGGACATCCACCTTGTCCCCTATAAGTCCTGGAGTAGTGGAGCACGTAACGAAACGTCGCCGTAAGTAAAGATACAGTATTCATCATATAGCAGATGGCTCTTTGGGTGATTTTGTTAGTGATCCACCAAACTGTAACAGATGCAATAGTGTCCAAAATCTGCCACTATCGGATACCTGCATTAATGCTTCAATCTCGGACATGTCGGACGCTCATATCTTTTATACTCATAGGTGTATATCCAATTTGCGCATATGTTTTTGCACAAACTTCATCAATCATTTCCGCTATATCTCTATCAAGATCTTTCACCCATTTGTTTACATCAAAGCCACCGGATTCAATTATCGGCACAAACTCGTTAATCTCTAGCTTCAAGCCGATGAATTTGAATATTTCGTAAAATAATTTTGGATGGGAGCTGTATTCCTCGTGTGTTATATTCATAAAGACTCCTGGGTATAATTTTTCTAGTTTTTGTCGAATTAGGACATCTTTGCTCATTCGATCACACATATCTCTAACAAAAATCCGCTTTTTCTTAAAGGACAGGTGTTTATAACCCGCCCACTTTGTATGCATTCTTGAGTTGATTTCGCCCCGAGGGTCACGTAATAAATGGATTATTTTGATATTTTTAGTTGTCGTCTGCTTCTCTAAAAACGCGCCAATTCCTTCCATAGTTCCACGGACTACTTTTGTCATCTTCACCTGAAAAGATTAAGCATATTTTTAGACACTTCCTCGTATGATTTGCGTTCATGTAATCGATTCAAATCATGCGGTTTGTGGCATTTTAGTACCCTTTTCATGCATTACGTTTACGTACAATTACTCAGATACGAGTAGGTAGTTACCAGTTTCGCCACCAGCTAGGCAAGGTGTGTCAGATTCCAGCCAATCCGAATACAATATTTCATATAACTGCATTGCATTATATAACTAATTTCCGCACCCAAGGTAATTCGTTGAATGGTTGTCAAGGTGACAACTTGACTCTAGAGATTGAAATTGATGCTTTGCCAACATGACACTTGCAAAAGGTTTCTTTGAATTGATTTCGTAGAAAATATTTTTCCAATATGCGAAACGAATTCAAACCCAATACTTGGTGCATTGTGGCTGATTCATTTTGCTCAGGTGTTGTTTCCTAAACTTTGCACTCCCGCTGCGCGGTCGTACACAGATTTGAAAACAACACCTTCCGAGGAATGATTCGGTCCACAATGCCTGAATGCACTGAATGATTCTGCTTTAGTGAATGGGCCTTCATTTTTAAATCCCCAAATCCCACCCTCTTCAACCATCCAATCATGTCAACTTCCAGACCAATCTCTGAACAATCACCTTTCTGTTAGTGCAAATATCCACAGCTTCTTGAATGCAGTAATCAACTGGCTTCTTCAATTTAAGACAGCTACTGTATCTCTCCATTGGGCGATTATATTCAACAACCATCTCATCTTCCATCAGATTGCTACCAATTGGAAGTCTATCCAACTCACATCTGTTCAATTGTTCATACATTTGGACCTCTTTCTGGAGTATATCTCGGTCCGCCTCTATTGGACGTGGAAATGGCATCCCCTACAAATTATTTTAAGGTGTGTACATCTACTATCTAACATTATTTAATAGAATTTCAAGGTTAGCTAGGGGTAGTGTCATGTATCATCGCAAAATGTCATGGTTGCGTTGTGTTAATGTTCCGTTTCGGTAACAAAATGTCGGAACATCGAAGGTACGATTTTTCTTTTTTCCTTATTTTATACGTTGTAGGCAGAATTCCCACGACATTTTTAACACAAACGTGTGTCAGTATCATATGTTTAAGAAAATGTACATATTTGCGAACATAGTTCAGAAGACAACAGAATCGTCGATTTAAACCCTCACTTAAGATACAGAAACGGTATTTCGAAAAACAGTTAAGATCTGGACTTTTAACCCAAACCGTTTCTGTAAAAAGTGAGGAATTAAATCGACGATTCTGTTGTCTTCTGAGCTAATCTTTCGCAAACATGTACATTTTCTAAAACATATGATACTGATATACGTTTATGAGAAAAAACGTCGTGTGGATTCTGCCTACAACGCGTGAAATAAGGAAAAAAGAAAAATCGTACCTTCGACGTTCCGACATTTTGTTACCGAAACGAACGTTTCGGTAACCAGGGTAATCGAGCGGATCACTATTGAAAGTGAAGGGTTTCTTTCTCGATTATCGAAGCCCTTGGAATTTGTGACTGATTCGCCTTTCAGTAACCGGATGTCACGGGTAAAATATATGGATAATACATTTCGACCTCCTTCTTTGTGAAAATGATGAAAGTAAAACCTTCCTCCGACCATGGTCGCGTTGTAGGGTAGAGTGATTCAATCATTACTGTTAAAACTTATGTCCCTCCTGTATATCCAATAAACTACATAAAATATGGTTTTACTCTCAAATATATTTCACTATTTAGAAATCTCCATCTTGGTACAATAGTCTCGAAACTGTCTGTTTTGTGCTGTCACCTATTGGCCAAATGAAACATCAAAACACAATAACACAATTTGGTTGTTCTAAGATACAACAATTACCTTATCTTTCATGAGGCGGAATGGCTCGTACATGTAGAAGACATCAGGATTCCGATTTAGGATATCCACAAGATAGCTCGAGCCACATCCTTGATATGTAAGCACAATGACGAATATAGCGTCATCTTTTGTCAGTGTAGCGAATGTATCATTGTATTGTGCTTGTCTGTCATATATTGGCGTCAGTTGCTCGGTTAGTATATCTGGAAAATATCAATATTATTTTTTACAAAAGACATTTGATGTATATCGCAGATAGCGCACAGATATGAAAGATCTTAGAAGTACGAAACATCTAAGAAGAAAAAGCTGAGAATTTGCGATATCGCAATCATCGTATTTACCAAATACATATACTCAAATGGCATATGAATGAGAACAAATTGACCGACGCGCATGTTATATTTACATATGTAAGATTTATCGTACAGTGACGATAATTATATGTTTAATGTCAACCATTTTGAAAAAGATGAAATTCCACTGTGAAAAATATAAACAGCAATTATGCTAATACAATTAAATTTTCTGTTAAATAATACATCAGAAAGTCGAACACCAGGAAAGTCGTACTTGCCTATGCTGGTTGATCCAAATGATCTGTATACGATCAAGAGAGTAATTACAGGTAGTAATAATCCAGTCAGTAATCGGCAGAGGTTTGCCCTCATGGCCTGGGCGATATGCCGCACATCCACACGTATGAGGAGACCCAACTGTTCTCGGTTACCCAGGTGTTCTAAATCTTGCCCAACTACTCTAAGTTCACTTGATTTAGTAGATCTGAAAATCCACAAGGGAGGATATCAAAAATATTTTGCTGGAATTAATGTTTGCCGATATTAACCCATTTTGGAGATATTTGATTCACTTTTAGAAAATATGGGCCAATCTTTCAAATGTGAGGCCTATCTTTCGGCCAATTTTTATTTCTAAAATTCGAACCAAGCATAAATACATTAATACAGGGTGTCCGGAAAGTAAAGATACAAATGCTCTCATTTTAAGAGATTTACATGTTATGAGATGAAATTGCTCCAGAATGTAGAATGACATTATAGCAATATATCCTGCAACGGTCATGGCTTTTAGTTTTAAAATGAAAAAGTTATGGTCGTTATGGTAACGGGAGTCAAGGGTATGTGGAGCAACGTCACAAATGTGTTTTACAAATTTCTTTCCTGCTCATAGCATCTTGGCATTCTTCCATTTATTCCTATATTACATCAAATTATGTACTACAACAGCATAAGGATTAGTACCGTAACATTATTTGATCTCTTCATATAACTACTATCATTGAATATTCCATATTTTCCCCATTATCTAAACATTTTTGGTGCATCTTGACCGCCGATTCAAAGACTTGACAAAATCATCGCTGTCCGTCTCTCAAATTGCTTATAGCATTGACTTCCAGCTGAGACTCATTTTGTATGTATAACTTCTTACAAATATTGCTTTCAGATGGTCATAAGGTAGAAGTCAAAAAAGGCTCTATCAGCTGAAAATGGGGCATTGCATAGAAAGGTTTAATGTCAAGACAATCCATTGTCAGAATTGTTTTCTTTGCTTTGAGAATGGGTGTATTATGGAGATGCAATATTGACTTTCCAACTAAATCCAGAGGCTGTTTTTTCTAAACACTTGTATGATATTTCTTTGATTATACTGCTTAGAGAAATAAAATAGTTCTGATATGTAACAATCGCATCATTATATAAAAGAAAAAACTATGGCAGTAATAATACAAACAACAAACAAAAATCAGCAAAACATTGATAGAAAATACGACAAAAAACGCTGTTTCAGATGATTGTATTTTAGCAATTTTTGACATTTTAGCGATGTTCTGGAAGTGGAACTGCTCCGCATACCCCTCACAGCCGTAACCATAACAACCATAACTTGAACACGTTAAGACTATATGTGATGAAAGTTGGTAGATATATTGTAATAATCTTCCTGTACAATCTGTAGCAGTTTAATTTCAAAAGAACCTAATCTCTTAAAACAAGAGCATTTGTATCTTTACTTTCCGGACACCCTGTATATTATATTGCTCCTGAGTGTCCCATAGTGCAAAAGTCGCACATTCTGGGATCTGTCATTCCTCAACAGGTATCCTGCTAGTTTATTTATAAAAATAAATGGAAGGCCTTTTGAGCACAAGTCAGAATCATACATAATATGTCAATATAAGTGGTTTCCGAAATTATTCATCTCTCGACGCATCATGGAATTGAATGGAAAATTAGAAAATCGACGTATCAAGTGTAATCTGGTAATTAGTAACAAGTACTACTAAACCCAGAATATTTTGGTCAAGTCAGAGCACTTCGGCAAGAGTCGGAATACTTGGGTATCCCAGACCACTTGGAACTTCACACGTATTATGGCTGCTGAGCTCGAGATTGGATACTTAATTGCTTACATTTTACAACTTTAACTCAAGTGCATAAATCAGTCATGTTTTCATAGTCCATATTGATGTCTGGGTTAGAAGGTAGATGATTTACTACTTTTACTACTTATATTGAAGATAACGTACTGTACGACGATGTACTTGGAGACCCCAGTTTGAAAATACCATCCAAATAGTATTTTTATGAAAACTGTTTCGAAAAATTACAATCGAAATAAAGTTGTTCACAAAAAGCCTTGAATTTTCAAATATTTGAATTTTCTGCCAGTAGATTTTTAGTTCATCAATTTCAACTCTATACACCGTAGAAAACATTTTTCTACATTTCATAGTCTTAGATATCGATCAAACTATACATAATCTCAACCATTTAATTTCCTTTTTACATAAACTTTAGATTTTTAGCATTTTTATGTCACCACAAGAAGTAATGACATATTGTTATATCCTGCGGCGGCTTTTGTTCGTCGGTTTGCGTCTGGTCTGTTACACTGTCTGTAACAAATGGCAGGTGTTGATATTTTGCATGTTAATGCCTTGTTTAAATATGTTATATGTTATCAGATTACACAGTGATGTCATATGGGGTGCAGACTTTATTTTCATATTATAACAAAATTGTCTGAAATATACTTTTCAACTATGCTAACCTTTCAAAATAAAGCAATATTTGTGTTCAATCCTAGATGAGAAGAAATGTTCGTCATTTTTCAAATCTGCACCATTGATTTCAATGAGAACGAAAATTTCAAAATGAAACTTTTTCTGAACCACTTCCAGGGTTTGTGAGTTCATTTCTCTCTTATTTGTAAATCCAATTCACAATTTTTCAAATAATGATTAAAAACGTCATCAAATTAAAGAGAGAATCAGATATAGCAAGACGGCTAAACAAAAAATCGTTTCAATTTTAGAATATTTTTGCCTAATGCCATTCCGTCATTTCTATTTTCTAAAAATCACAAAAGTACATACTTTATTTCAGGAAAACTAAAGATTTTTACAATACTGTATCATTTTTCTATAAGAATGTTTACCATTCTTATTATTTGGAGAATTTAAACATTTTCCACCCATTTTTGCACTTTGAATCATTAATAACTTTACCAGTTTATATCATATTGTGATTCTTTTGGGAGATATTACATGATGATATTGTAAGGAATCGATTGGGAGGACAATTATAATACATGTTGCTCATAATTTTGTCACCCCCTATAGATCTGATTCAGCCTTTAAAAGTTCCACACGTCACCATTTTGTTAACTTTGTGTGAGGCTATAATAAACCCCAACGTGGTTCAAACCATTTCTGAGGCCTTTGACCATATCCCCCATTACTCTGCCATATCTTTTTGCATCTAGTAATGACACGCAAACGCAAATATCGTGCTGATCTTTGGTCAGAGGACTGGTTAGTAGCCGAAAGGTACACTTTAATGTCTCTCGTTCGACATAGCTCATACATCATATGACATAGTCTAACATTGTTTAAACATTATTTTAATTTTAATGCTTGCGCGATAAACATGTCTTCTAAATATCTCCGAAAATTTCTGAGTTAAAATCAGATTTACTGAGTATCCTAGTGTAGTGTAGCTGTGATTCCGTGAAGAAGAAGCCACAACAATATCTCTCCTACCAGATGCACAGGATCTTTCGAGACTAGCACGACGCATCTTGCAGTAATCGGCGCTTAAAGTGGACACCCCATTGTTCCGGTTGAAAACTTTACGACATCAACGTCCCCATACCAAGATCATAGTATTATGCTGGGATCCATCTAACAACCGACTATGAGAACCAGAGGAGTATCTACTGAACAAGCAGCCGCAAATGAAGACGAAACTGAGGTGAATAAAACCGACCTAGAACGACATGACAGTAAGTCAAAAAGGGGTTTTAAATCCCGCGAGAAGTCAAACGAGAAGTCATCAAAACTTGAAAAATTGAAAAAAATCATCTCACCAAAACTGATTTTAGAGAAGACCCAGAGCGCAGGCGGCGCGAAATCTACAGCTGGTAAGCATACTTCTATTCAACATAATTGTGACAGATGTGATATCCCGAATTCAAATCTTCTAGGGTGTGAATTTTGCGATCTCTGGCTTTGCAACTCTTGTGAAAATCTCAACAAAAACGATCTTGCCCTACTCACTGCATCAACCAACCAAACCCACTGGTACTGTCATGAATGTGAACCCCAGGTCAAATATATTCTGGCACAATCAAAAGCAGGTATCGTTGAAGTTGCAAAATCGGTTGCTCATTCCCTACAATCCATCAAAAAAGATCAAACCCAGGCAAAGAAGAGCCTGGACTCAGTCTCCACCAAAGTGAACCACCTCCAGGGGTTGTACGAGAATGTAATCCAAAAAGTTGAAACATTCAGTGATTCACTCAAAGAGATAAATCTTGGAAAAGGATCAGTAGAAAAATCATTAAAAGAAGTTACCCAGCTTAGCAAATCCTTTTCAGCAGTAGTACAAAATTCTGAAAACAAAATCTATCCCAATGTCCTAGAATCTGTAAAAACTGGATTCAGAAGTGTAAATGACCAGGAAAGACGTAAAAAGAACATAGTCCTTCACAATCTGGAAGAGCCCACATCCCCCAATCCTAATACTGCCCAGGCCCAAGACCTAGAAGAAGTTAAACAGATATTTGAGGATGGCCTTGAACTCCTAAATATCCAGATTATCAAAACAATCAGATTAGGTAGAAAACTTAACAAGCCTAGACTCCTACTAGTAATGATGAAGGATGACACATACACTGGACAAATATTGTCCCGCGCACGCAGACTCAGATACGAAGGACGATGGGACAACATATACATCCACCCCGACCAATCTCCTGAAGACCGTGAAATCTCTAGGAGATTAAGAGAAGAATTGAAAGGAAGAAGAGAATTAGGTGAAGAAAATCTAGCTATCAGACGAGGAAAAATAGTGAGTATTCCACAAAATGAACAAAACTCCCAACAGCAGAGGGACACTGTGTCCTACAGGCAACGAGGTAGGGGTGGAGCAGCTCCCCGAGGAGGACGACCACAGAGGACTCGTGACCAAATACCACCCAGGTTCCGAGATCGTGATATGCGACTCAAATACTGCGATGGAAATTTACCCCGCTCCGAGTCAACCCTATCCCTCTCCTCAACCAATGCAGACATAAGAAAACCAAACCAATCCAAGCCAGACAAGCCTACATCCACGTATGTTAAAAATACTGATTCAACAGACAAGCCAGAGAACAACAAATCGGAACCAACTACATTGCACTGCGATGTCAGGCCAAAAAATCCGTCAAACTCGAAACTTCAGCCAATCCAAATCGAAAAAAACCTTTGAAATCCTGTGTAACCTCGATAATGACTATACAACTTCAGATGTTGAGGTCCCAGACAGATCCGACACCTGCAGTGTTAAGTCCAGCAGCTCAGATGAAATAGACCCACTTCATGAAAGTCCTGTGGAAACAGAGGAAGCACCCCCCACAGACGCCCCATCACTCCCAGAATGGAGACCAAATACAACAAGCCCCCCACTCTCCCAAAACTGTGGAAAAGCCCCATGTGACCTTGACGGCCTGTCCCAGGCTGCAGGCAACCAGTGACTAGGCAACCACCCCCCCATAAAATTTCTGTACAGCAACGCAGACCAGTTATCAAATAAAATTAAAGAACTTGAACTAACAGCAGAGTCTGAAAACCCAGACATAATAATTATTACAGAAGCCCTGTGTAAAAACAGAAAGGACCCAATGACTCTCAGCGAACTTCGGATCTCAAACGATACATACGACTGCTACAGGAACTTTGATGACACATCAGAATCACAAAAAACGAAGAGGGGAATAGTCATATACGTTAACAACACCATAGATGTACAGTCATACGAATCAACAGAAAGTAGATTCATTGAACACTTAGCTCTCACAGTGACCCTTAAAGACAAAACAAGGCTACTACTATGTGGAATCTACAGAAGCCCCAGCATTAGAGACACAACAGACCAGCAAACAGAACTTATAGAGCTCACAAAGGAACTTGCCTCATCCAGTCACACTCAACTGTGCATTATAGGGGACTTCAACCTACCAGAGATCAACTGGGAAGACATGACATCATCTGCATGTGAAGACCATATTAGTACAAGATACGTAAACTGTCTCCAGAACTTATTCTTATACCAGCACATTACAGAACCCACACGGAAACGCCATGGACAACGAGACACTCTAATTGACCTGATTATCACGAAAGAAGAACATACCATAAGTGACAAAAGCTACGACACACCACTAGGACTCAGCGACCATCTTACACTCAAGTTCAATCTTACCATGTTAGACCAGAAGCCCATACCCCCGCTTGATTCCCCAACACCCAGAAACTTCAACAAAGGAGACTATGATACAATCAGGAACAACCTTAAAAACATAAACTGGAAACAAGAACTCAGTGGGAAAACTACAGAGACAGCCTGGAACATACTGCATAGAACCATCATGGACAACATTGAAGCAAACATTCCTTTCAAAACCAACAAAAAGAAAAGGAAAAAATGGATGACACTAAGAGGATTAAGGCAACTGCGAAGAAAATCCAAGGCCTGGAAACACTACAGAGAAACCAAGACGTATCAAGACTACCTGAAAGCGAAGAAAACAAGCAATGAAACCAGAAGACTATGCAGACAGCTATGTAAAGAATTTGAGAAAGATATAGCCAAACAAATAAAGACTAATCCTAAGGCCTTCTGGGCATACGTCAACTCTAAACTCAGGACGCGCCCCAAGATCAGCTCACTAGACAAGCCAGATGGTAGTACAACAGATGAGAATACGGAAATGGCAAACATCCTAAGTCAATACTTCGCCACCATGTTTACTGTAGAAGACGACACAAACATCCCCAGAATAACTCCCAGATCAACCCAAACCTTGGAAACTATAGAATTTACAGAGGAACTAGTCCTACATAAACTCAAAAAGCTCAAAGCCTGCAAATCCCCCGGCCCCGACAATATTCCCGCAAGATTTCTACTGGAATGTTCACATGAACTAGCCCTCCCTCTCAGTCTGCTTTTTACCAAATCCCTAGATTCAGGAACATTACCATCAATCTGGAAAGATGGCGAGATAACACCCATCCACAAAAAGGGTAAAAGAACAGCTCCCAGCAACTACCGTCCAATATCGCTAACTTGTATCCTGTGTAAGACCATGGAATCCATAATTAGGGACGCAATGGTAAACCACATGGTGACACTGGGCTTATTAACAGATGCCCAACACGGGTTTGTACCCGGGCGTTCATGTAGCACCCAGTTGCTTACAGTACTTGAGGATTGGACAAGTCTACTCGATACTGGCAACCCAATAGACGTAATATATTTTGACTTTTCCCGGGCGTTTGACAGCGTACCGCACTGCAGACTACTTGAAAAACTAAACAGCTATGGCTTCAAGGGGAACCTTCTAAAGTGGCTGACTGCATTCCTGACTAAACGAAGACAGAGAGTCAAAGTCAATGGTAGCCTCTCAAGCTGGACTGAAGTCACCAGTGGTATCCCTCAAGGCTCGAGCCTCGGACCACTGGCCTTCATAATCTACATAAACGATCTTCCCGAGAAAGTTAAAAGCACTTTGAAAATCTTCGCTGATGACACGAAGCTGTACAATGCCATTCCCAGACAAGACGACATCACTAAACTACAAGAAGACATTAACGAACTTGTCAAGTGGTCCGAAAAATGGCTGCTCAAATTCAACTCCAGCAAATGTAAAGTTCTTCATCTGGGGAACAATAACAACAACCACAAATACACACTAGATAACCAACCACTGGAAGATGTCACCAAAGAACGTGACCTTGGCGTGACCATTGACCAGGATTTAAAGTTCCATGACCATGTCTCCAACTGTGTAAACAAAGCAAATAAGATTTTGGGTGCAATCAAAAGAACATTCTCAAACAAAGATGCAGATATTTTCCTCCCCCTATACACAACCCTAGTCCGCCCCCACCTGGAATACTGCACCGTAGCCTGGAATCCCAGATATCAATTGGACATTAATAAGATTGAGAAAATACAAAGGAGAGCCACCAAACTCATCACCGGCATGACCGACCTACCCTACGAAGAACGACTAAAGCAGCTTCACCTATTTCCGATGACATACAGGAGGAAAAGAGGAGACTTAATTCAAGTATATAAAATCATGAATGAGATAGACAAGATAGAGCCATCCCACTTCTTTACCCCAAGTCACACCAACACAAGAGGCCACAGCCAGAAATTCTACAAACCCAGATGTAACCTTGCCCTGAGACGAGGGTTCTTCAGTCAGCGTACCATAGACGACTGGAACAACCTCCCAGAGAATGTAGTTACAGCCTTAACATTAGATGATTTCAAGGTAAAGGTCGATACCTACTACTACCCAGACATGTAGAAGATCACAAGAGACCCAGGATGACCAGTTCACACTACACTAGTTTTTTGCCCATGTTCAACATAATTTTAGTGCAACCGTCACATTTAATTAAATACAAAACCGTCTTTGGGAAATAAAATACCAAAGAAATTGAAAACTGCCCATAAGAATCCATGTAAATAATAAAACCAGAAGGGAGGACAACACAGGACTAACCTTACCCTCCTAAACATGATGATGATGATGATGATGATGATATGTCCTATGCAAAATATGCTGTACATCGCCTGAGCATAGGTGATCTTCAAAGCATCTCTATAAAACCCGTATTTGACGGTGCGATGTTTCTAAAAAACCAATTTTTGATATGTATGTCAATATATGTAACTATCATTTGACATGCGGTGTTAAAAATGACGAAAAACATGTTTTCGAGCTTCAAAGACAAAAATCAAAAAAATACTTTCTGAAAAAAATCTCCAAATTTGCAGAACAATTTTGGGAAGAGCTTCTAATGTATTGCCTATACGGATGGTAAACCGAGGGACAGTGTTTTTCTCATGATATTCCTTCTATGGATTGGATATGGCTTTCTCGGAGTATCTCATATTATCTTTTTATTCATTATTTTACTAAAAAAATTCTGTTAAGTCAATCGTACGGAACTTGCTACGATGCCAACGTCAAGGTCAAGTGTAGGTCAAATCCAGTCTTTTTCCATTTCTCAACTTTTGGCACTGTACGCTTGATCATTTTTCCTCAATTTTGTTACACAGAAAGAGGTGACAGAGAGTTCATATCTACCTGACCTCAGATTTCTGATCTGACCTTTCGTTGACCTTCAAAAGGTCAATCAGAAAGGCAACTTCAAGACACTTTATTTTTATTTAGATTTAGTTCTCACGGGTCATAGATATTTGCTTTGGAAAGTTCAATACCTAACAGAATTGGCCAATAACAGTGCAAGAATATCTAGGTTAGAATATTTTTTAAAATTTAAATCAGACCAACAAATTCTTCAATTTATTCAGATTTCTTGGTCCGCAGCAATTGTTTGCGGACTGAATATGG